CCACTCGGAGGTGTCCTGGCCTTGGGGTGTTTCTGAGGCTGGACAGGAACCCCCGTCCTCTTCTGTAGATGAGGCCTCTGGGCCCCAGAGAGGGGAAACCGTTTCAAGGACGCCCAGCCAGGACTGGGGCCCAGATGTCCTGCTGTGGGTTGATGCCCTGCGTGCTCATCAGGGCAGGGGCTACACTGAATGTTCTGAGGACTCCGGGGTCCTCTTTCCCTTCTTAACTAGGGAAGCAGGGCCCTCAACCACGCTCGTGGGTCGCCTGCAGCCTGCCCTCACCCAGGCACACCTGGTCCCCACCCCAGGCTGAAGGCCTCAAAGGTCACACTAAGAGAGCAGAACCAGGTAAGCTCATCCTGAGAGAGGAAAAAGGAGAGCCATGGGGGAACTAGATGCAGGAAGCCTTCCTAAGTATCTGGGAGTGAGAATCAGAGAAGACTGCCTGGAGGAGGAGGCTTTGGCTGGGGGACAGTTTGGAGGGAGACGAGCAGGAAGGATGGTCCGAGGCAGATGGTGATGGGTCTTAAAGGCAGTCTCTCTCTGTCTCGCTTTCTCTCCATCTCTGTTCTGTCTACAGTTCTCTCTCTGTTTCACTTTCTGTCTGTCTCTCTCTCTCTCCTGTACCCAGTGGCAGGGGAAATGAGGGCAGAGTGGAACCATCAGATTTGCCTTAGCTAATTACTTACTTGACCGTGGGCATAAAAGGAGGATTAGCTGGGCTCTCACGGGGTCCTCCCTGGCTCCCTAATCGCGTAGCCCCTGTTTCCTGGCACGGAAGTGATGAACTCGTTCTGAGCCCCTAATTAGCTAATTATGTGGTGGCTCTGTGGCCCTGGGACTCCCCGGGCCCCAGGGGGGCTGTGAAGTGAGCTGCGGCCCAGCTCAGCAGAGGGTGGCAGGAGGGGAGGAGGGACCGGGCTGCCATTCAGGGAAGCCAGCCTGGCAGGTTCTCAGGAGCGTTTCAGAATTTCAATGTCCTGGAGAACTGAGAAATGTAATTAACTGAGCAACACAGGCTGGGCCCGGGGAGCAGACATGGAGAAGCGGGGCTGGGATGGTGAGGAGCTGCCTCCTCCAGGCCTTTCTGATCTCACCCCTTCTCACAGCTGCCACCTGGCCCTCCGTGCTTGCCTCCTGCCTTTGTCCTGTCCTCCAGGATTACTCCTTCCCCTTTAAAGCCCAGAGCTGACCAAGCACTCGCCCTGTTTAGAAATCTGCCCATGGACCACCCTGACCAGCCACCTAACAGAGAGCCCCGCCCTCCTTAGACCCCCAAGCACAGTCTGGATGCCCTCTCTGAACGGTCACCCCTCTGCGACTTTGCCACAGCTCCCGGCATCCTGCAGGGCCCAGCTCGAGTCAGCCCCTCCAGGAATGGGCCTGGAGCTGCCCTCACTGCCCAGGCATGGTCCGTTTCCCCAACACTGTGGTCCCCTGACCCCCTGCTGGTAGACTGCAAGCTCTACCAGCAGGGGTAAAAAATGAGGGCGTAAAAAAATGAGGATTTTGGTTTCCCCATGTGCCCAGCACCGTGCCTCGTATGCAACAGTATTTATAAGTGTTTGATGAGTGAATGAATGATGGGGCATCAGAAAGGCCTGCAACTGAATTAACATTTGGATGGACTGCAGGGTGCTTGCTCTGTTTTCTCGCTTCCCTCTTCTGCACACCCCCTGGCTACCCTGCAGTGGCGGGGGGCAGACGTGGCGAGGTGCGGTATTGAGCCTTCACTCACCCTGGCTTGCTCTCAATTGGAGAGCAGGAGCTTACAAAGGAGCCCCACTGCCTTTCCCAAGAGGAGGCTGACCTAGTTTTGTGGGGAGGGAGGATGGGGGTGGGCATTAATTATTGATTGGAAATCACTCCATACAGAGCTTGTGATGCAAATCCCAAATAACTACCCTCATGAATAACCACCTCAGGGGCTTCCCTGGTGGCGCAGTGGTTGAGAGTCCGCCTGCCGATGCAGGGGACGCGGGTTCGTTCCCTGGTCCGGGAGGATCCCACATGCCGCGGAGCGGCTGGGCCCGTGAGCCATGGCCGCTGAGCCTGCGCGTCCGGAGCCTGTGCTCCGCAACGGGAGAGGCCACAACAGTGAGAGGCCTGCGTACCGCAAAAAAAAAAAAAAAAAACCTCAAAAAACAAAAAAAAAACTACCTCAGCCATCACTCCTGGAATAAATAAAAATCTGGACAGGGCCACTGTTCTCCTTGTCACCATCCTTCCATCCTCCCCTCTCCAATATTCCACTCCCTCCCTATGACTTAGCACATCATTCATTCACAAGCAGTCATTCAATAAATGTTGGCTGAGCCTCTGCTCTGGGCCAGGACCTGCTGGGTTCCAAGAACACTGAGGTGACATAGACACAGGCCCTGCCCCCAGGAGGTTAGAGCCAAGTGGAAGAGACAGGAGGGTAAACAGATGACTACACACTAGGGTTAGAAGAAGATTGGATGTTGATGTAAATGGTACCTCCAAGGTTGTGCAACCTGCACAACTGTCCATCCTAGGCTGGGTCAGAGATGCTGAGGTTGCCCAGAACAGAAGAGAGGGAGAGGGGCTTAGAAAGGGTATGGAAAGTCTTCACAGAGAGAAAGCAGACCCTTAACTGAGATGTGGTGGCTGAATAGAGGTTTGCCAGGCACAAGAGAGGCAGAAGAGTGTTCTAGAAAGAGGGGACAGCATGAATAAAAAAGCATGGAGGTGTGAAATCCCATGGTAGCTTTATGGAACTTTAAATAATTTGATATTGCTAGACATAGCATGCACACTGGGGACGGAGGGAGGCAGAGAGGAAGATGAGGCTACAGAGGTAGGCAGGGTTCACAGGAATCACAGGATCTTGGGGGGGGGTGCGCTCAAGGGTGACCCACCAGCTCTTGACACTCTTTGGGGCCACAGACACTTGCGTGGACCTTCTTCCCAGAAAAATTCATGGCATCATACTTGCATACTTTACAGCAATTCCATAAGGTTCATGGACCTTCCGTAGTCCTTCCACGGACCTCCCCCAACCTGCCAGGGGTCCACAAACCACAGCTTCTGTAACTGATAAGAATGCCAACACTTTTCATACATAGTGATGACGTGCCCAGATTTGTGTTGTAGAGTGTGTTATCAGGAATCACTCCCTCTCTGTCCTGGGCTCTGCCTTCCTTGGGCTGGCTTCAACCCCAGGCAGGCATTATTCCCGGGAGGCAAATGGCCCCTGCAGCTCCAGGCTTAACTCCTCCCAGCTTGTAACCTCTGCAGAAAGAGAGCATCTCTTTTCCTGTAGTTCCAGCAGAAGTCTCAGTGCAGACTCTCATTGGTCCTGGATGGAGTCACGTGCCCATCCTGGACCAATCATTGAGGCTAGAGGAACAGGCTATGCTGATTGGCCAGGCCTAGGTCATGTGATCTCCATGTCAGCCCACCCAAACCACAGGACTGGAATGGGGGAATTGGTGCTGTTTTCATAGGACTGGGAAAGGGAGCTGGGCAAAACTACAGAGGTGACCCACCTGTCTGGGGCTTGCATTCCTGCGGATTCTCCAGTGACTGGGTTGGCTGGATCTTCCTGAGGAGTCAGGAGGGAGTGGGTGACATGCAGACAGTTACTGAAGCTGTGCAGATGATGTCACCCAGACTTGGGAGAGCTGGGTCCTTTTCACAGCTGGGGTACTGAGCCCGCGGGGAGAGAGAGGGCATGGAGGGTGCAGATGGGTCAGTCCAGGGCAGGAGGGGCAGAAGGGAAGGATGGGGAGACAGACGTGAAGGGTGGTAAGTGTGTGGAGCAGTGCCGGAAGCTGAGCATCTCCACTTCCTCTGTGGGGCGGGAGCCCCGGAGTTTGCTGAGAGTTGGCTGTGGGCCCTGAGCTGGGGAATCTTTGCAGAGTGGTTGCTGTCTTCTTGGGCCCATCTGCTGAGGGGCCTTATCCTCCAAGAGGGGAAGGGACTGGTTCAGGTCCCACAGGTCCCAGAGGCTAGCAGGTGAGGATTTGAACCCGAATCTCTCTAAATCTCTGTAAATCTCTCTAAAGCTCTATGTGCTTTCCACAGGCTTTCCCTACCTAAGGCATTTCAGGATGTCAGACCTCCCCAGGAGCACACGTTCTGCCCCCCTTCCCATGCCTGCCTGAAGCCCGCTTCAGGTCACGCGTCGCCCTCCCTGGGGATGTCTGTCTCCACTCCCACTTCCCCATCTTCTGTTTTGCCTCTGCCTTGGGTTGTTCATTGCAGCCCTTTCTTAGGAAAGGAAGAGTCCTCTTCCTCTGGCATCAGGCCAGGTCTGAGTCCCTAGGCTGGCCAGGGTTCTTCTGTAGGTGGCTCTGAGAGGTCTGCCTGGTTCCATCATGCAGTGGGCGGGTCAGCAGGGTGGTTTTGGCTGGTACTGATGTGTCCTGGCAAGGTCAGGGAACCACTGACTGCCCCGGAGATGAAGGACACTTATTAGGCGCCTACTGTGCCCATTCTGGGTGGGTGCTGGGCATAGGGAGATGAGCTGGCCTCAGTCCTAGGCCTCCGGGTACTTGAGGGTTGTGGAAAGAGTGCTAACTTGGTGTCAGGACACCTGGTTTAAATCCAGACCCTGCTGCTTCCTATCTGTGTGACCTTGGGCAAGTAGCTTCAGTTCTAGGAACCTCCAGTTGCCTCTTCTATAAAATAGGGATAATATTACCACCCTCACGAAGGAGATCATATTTGTGCATTACCCAGAAAGGCGCGTGGCACATAAAAGGTGCTCCACAAATGCCTGCCTATTGACCCAGAATCTAGTGTAAGTGTCGTGGGGCCCAGAGCCATTTCTGTGGCCTCTGGGAGGAGGGGCAGGTACCAAGGAGGAAGTCTGTCTGGTGGCCACTGAGCAGGCTGAGGACAGTAAGGAGCCCCTGCCCACATGTCCCACCTCTCCTTTCACTGCCCCCTCTCTGTTCCTCTAACCCTGCTCTCCCTCTGTCCTCTCCGGGACCTCTGCCCCTGTCTGCCCATCCCTCCACCCTTCCCTCTCTCAGGTATGCGGATCCTGGTGAACCTGCTCCTGGACACGCTGCCCATGCTGGGGAATGTCCTCCTGCTCTGCTTCTTTGTCTTCTTCATCTTTGGCATCATCGGCGTGCAGCTCTGGGCGGGCCTGCTGCGCAACCGCTGCTTCCTGGAGGAGAACTTCACAATGTGAGTGCAGTTCCACCCCTACCCTGTACCCGCCTGCCCCGGGCTCCTGGCCAGCTTTAGCAGGGGCATCAGTGGCACTGAATATTTCAGGGCTAGGAAGGTCTCCACATTGAGACCTGGTCCCGATCCTTATTTCCAGTGGTACAGGGAGATTAAGGGATGTGCCCAGGTGAGTTGGTGGTAGGTCTCTCATGAATGGCTGGACACCAGAATGAGCACAGAAGTCCTCTGGGCTCTCAGACTGGGTATCAAAAAGTCCCAGCCCAAGATAGGCCCTTAGATGCTAATTCAGTACCTAGTGACTCTCACTTAACACACAGTTTTAACTTACTTGGGAATTGGGACCAAAAGAGTGGAAGCAGCAAACGAGAAGGAGGTTGGGTAAGAGGAAAGAGGGTGGCTAAGATCCAAGCAGAAGTGGGGACAACATGGAATAAAGAGACAGAAAACCTTCAAAGCAGACGTGGAAACTGGCTTTCTAATTACAGCACAGACGTTCCTATCAGGGACTGAGTCACCAGGGAAAGGTCAGCTCGCATTCGGCCCACTTGTGTCTAAAAGCAGTGGGGTGAGCAACTCCTCAGAGAGATGATTGTCCAAAGCTGTGTAAACAGAAATCAAGCTTTCGCTCTTGGAGGAGTTGCGTTGAGTTATCTGAGAAATGTGACATCTACAGAACCTCAGCAACGAGGGATAAGCAGCGTCTCTGAGTGTACATACATGCCCATATGTGTTTGGACAGGGCTATACTTTCACTTTGTTTCACTGATAGGCGTTAGTGCACTCCTGCTGTGTGCCAGGCCCCAGGGAGACTGAAGTAAAAAAGCATTTTCATTCATCCTGTCACTCGACAAACTCATCCAAGTGGCAGCTCTTGCCCAGCCTGTGCTCGGGCCGAGGACACAGCAGAAGGTGGAGTTCCTGCCCCTGGGGAGCGAGGACTGCAGGAGGGACAGTTCTTGTCCCTGGGGACACTGCACGGGCATGGGCTGGACCTCCCTCTTGGCCTGATTGTTGGTTGTGAGGATGGAGCTAAGCTGGAGAGCCAGGGGGAAGCCTGGGGAAGGGGACTGACCCGCCCATCACTGTGGGGGAACAGTAGGGTACCTGGGTAGATCAGGGACGGGGCACCCTTGTGGGTAAGAGCCCTGTGGGGGGCAGGGGTGCACTCACTGTGTCAGTCATTTGGAAGAGGTGGGCCCTGAGTCAGGGCCTGGGGCAGCAGGAGAGGAGGACCCTGCTTCTCCTGGTCTGGCCTTCAAAGATGGAGACGGGTAGGTATGAGCTCTCAGCTTTGGGTTCAGGTCTCATCCAGGCCCCTCCGTGCCATATGGATCTTTCTCTAGGTCATTCCAACATGGCCGCTTTCTCATTATCCCAGCTCAGCCCTGATGTCGCCTTGTCCTGGAGGCCTTCCCTCACCATCCCCCTCCCCCAGACCCTCTATTGCCTTATCCTGCTTGATTTTCTTGGTACTATCTCTGTCTGCAATTATGTCACTTGTGCGTTTATTTTCTTGGTTGTTGGGTATCTCTAGACCAGTTTATTTACTTGGTTAGCAAGGATGAAGCGCTTCTGTGTGACAGGGGCCGTGGAGGTGATGCTTGACTTTTGATCCCTTGTGGAGACCAGGAAACGGAGGCTGAGAGAGGAGAATCTTGCTCCAGGGCACCCAGCTTGGCGAAGTGAGAGATAGAATTAGAACCTGGGTTCCCCTGACTCTAAAGCCCGCTGTGACTGCCCCGCGGGGAGTGTGCACGAAGCATCCCTCCAGGCACATGAGCCCCTCAGGAGACCCCAGGTGGTCATTCGGAGTGTTCTTGATGAGCACAGAATCAGGACGATGTCACCCAGCTAGGAAGTGGCAGGGCCCGGAATCTGAGCCCTGGTCTGGTGTCCTCTGCAAAGCATCTGGTCCCTTCTTGCCGATTCTGTCTAGGCATTAATGCACACACACGACTATTTACACCCCAGACAGGTTTTAAAACTGAGAATGGCTCTGGCAGCGTGTCTTGAGTGTGTTTTTCATCAGTGTTCCTTATTCCACGAATGAATAAGAAGCTGGCGAGCCAGCTTCTGTTGATGGACCTTGCGAGGTTTCCAAGTTTTTGCTCTTACATACAAGCCTGCAGGGAGCATCGTGTATGCTTGCGATCTTTGTGATCAATGGCTAGACTCATAATGTCTAGTCAAATCAGAGATATTGCGGGTTTGGCTCCAGACCACCACAGTAAAGCGAGTCATACGACTTTCTTGGTTTCTCAGTACATATTATGTTCACACTATACTGTAGTCTATTGATTGTGCAATAATATTAAAAAGAGAGCATACCCCAATTAAAAAGTACTTCATTACCAAAAGATGCTAGCCGTCATCTGAGTCTTCCGTGAGTTGTAATAGTAACAACAAAGATCACTGATCACAGATCACCACGACAAATATAATAATAATAAAAGTTTGAAATATTACAAGAATAATCAAAACGTGACAGAGACACAAAGTGAGCAAATGCTGTTGGAACAATGGCGCCGACAGACGTGCTCGATACAGGGTTGCCACAAACCTTCAATTTGTAAGAAGTGCAATAAAGAAAAGCTCAAAAAACCCGAGGTATGCCCCTGTGTCCATTTTTTTAAAATACTTTTTTTGGTTAAGGTATAAATTACACTCAGTAGCAGGCACAGCTATTAAGTGCTCAGTGAGGTTTTAACCTGGGTTGCACATCACTGTAAATCTACCCTGAGAAACTCACTGTCCCCAGCAAGGCTCCCTCCTGCCCTTTCCCAGTCACCTTCCCCCTCACCCCAAAGTAGCAGCTATTCTGACCTCTATCACCATAGATTCCCTTTGCCTGTTTCTGAGGTTTCTTTAGATGGAATCATATAGGCCGTTACCTTTTGTGTCTGCATCTTTGTCTCAGTGTCTGTGAGGTTCACCCAAGTTGTTGCTTGTGTATTTCCTTTTTCATTTTTTTAAAAAAAATCATCTCTAGATTACTTATTTTTTTAAAAAAATATTTATTTATTTAGGCTGTGCCGGGTCTTAGTTGTGGCATGGGGGATCTTTGTTGTGGCATGCAGACTCTTAGTTGCAGCATGCATGCAGGATCTAGTTCCTTGATCAGGGGTCAAACCCGGCCCCATGCTTTGGGAGCGTGGAGTCTTACCCACTGGACCACCAGAGAAGTCCCTCCTTCTTTTTCACTGCTGTGAGGATTCTGCCGAGTGAATATACCACTATGTGTTTTTCCATTCTCCCGTTGATCTGGGCGGTTTCTGGTTCTTTGGCTCTATGACTGATGAATACTCTTGTCCATGTCTTTGGGTGGATATGGCCATTCCTTCTCTTGGGTAAATTCTCAGGGGTAGAATTGCTGGGTTAAGGGAGTGCATATGTTTATTGGCTTTAGTAGATTTTTTTTTTTTTTTGCGGTACGCGGGCCTCTCACTGTTGTGGCCTCTCCTGTTGCAGAGCACAGGCTCTGGACGCGCAGGCTCAGCAGCCATGGCTCACGGGCCCAGCCGCTCCGCGGCATGTGGGATCTTCTCGGACCGGGGCACGAACCCGTGTCCCCTGCGTCAGCAGGCGGACTCTCAACCACTGCGCCACCAGGGAAGCCCGGCTTTAGTAGATTTTGCCAAACTGTTTTCCAGGATGGTTGCACTAAATGTTCGCTAGCAAAGTCTAAGAGTTCCAGTTGCCCTACATCCTTCAGCAACATGTGGAATTGTCAGTCCTTTAATTTTTACTATTCTAGTGAGAGTGCAGAGGTGCCTTATTGTGGTTTTAATTTGAATTTCCCTGATGACTAGTGGTAATAAGCACCTTTCCGTGTGTTTATCAGCCATTGGTGTATCTCCTTGTGAAGTGTTTGTATGGTCTTTTGCCATGTTAAAGTTGGATTGCCTTTCTTTTTCTTATAAATTTGTAGCAGACCTTTATATCCTGGATTTGAGTCCTTTGGTGGATATATATATATTGCAAATATTTGATTCCAGTCTAAGTTTTCTGTTTTCACTCTTTTTTTTAAAAAATATTTTAAATTTTGTTATTTTTCTTTTAAATTTTTTTCTTTCTCCTTTTTATTTCTTTTTAAATAAAAAGTTCTTTTTGTTCCTTTATATATTTTTTCTGTTTTTCTTTTATTGTCTTTAAAATTTTTTTCTTTTTTCTTTTTGTTTTTCTTCTGTTTTCACTCTTTTTCCTTTTTAAAATATTTTTGTTTTTTATTTCTTTAGAAAATTTTGTTCCTTTATATTTTTCTGTTTTTTCTTTTCCTTTTAAAAATTTTTTCTTTTTGTTCTTTTTCTGCTTTCACTCTCTTAATGGTGTCATTTGATCGACAAACAGCAGCTCTCAGTTGTAATGAAGACCAGATAGCAATCATTTTCCTAGTATGCTTTTTGTATCCAGTTTAAGAAATCTTTTCCTAACCCAAGGTTACCAACTGTCCTCCAGTGTTTTCTTTTAGAAGCTTTCTTGTTTTTATCTTTCACATTTAGGTCTATATTCCATTTCAAATAATTTTTAGTACGACCTGTGGTTGGGGTCAAGATTCATTTTTTATATGGATGACCGATTGTCCCAGCACCACTGATGAAGAAGTCCATCCTTTCTCCACTGAATTGCAGTAGTGCCTTTATTAAACTGTCTGGGGACCATATGTATTTCGGTTGGATGTCTACATGTTAATTGTTAATGGATGTTGTTGCCAAATTGCCCTCTAAAAAGGTCATGTCAACTTACACTCCCACCAATAGTGTATTAACGTGTTTGCACTCTCCCCATACTCAATATTATCAGCCCTGAAATGTTTGCTGTTTGGATGGATGTAAAATGATCTCACTGTTATTTTTTTTTATTTTTATTTTTTTGCGGTACGCGGGCCTCTCACTGTTGTGGCCTCTCCCATTGCGGAGCACAGGCTCCGGACACGCGGGCTCAGCGGCCATGGCTCACGGGCCCAGCTGCTCCGCGGCATGTGGGATCTTCCCGGACAGGGGCACGAACTCGTGTCCCCTGCATCGGCAGGCGGACTCTCAACTACTGCGCCACCAGGGAAGCCCAGGATCTAACTTTTTTATTTTCCACATGGATAGAAAATGTCTTAACACCATTTACTGACTAGTCCTTCCATTCCCCATGGACCTCAAAAGGTGTCTCTATAATATACTAAGTTGTCTTTTATACCTGGGTTTGTCCCTGTGCTCTGTGATGTTCCACAATTCTTTCTGTTCCTGTTGCAATACCACACTCTAATAATAATCATACTTGTAGAGTATTTTGTTCTCCTGGAGGACTGCGCTCCACTCATCTTTATTCTTTTAAAAAATTGTATTGACTGCTCTCCCGTTCATATAAATCCTAGAACCATCTGGCCAGGTTTCATAGACAAAATCATGTTGAGATTTTGATTGGGATTGCAGTGAATCATAGATTAGCTCTACAGGATGGGCAGGGCAGGCATTGTCATCTCTGTTTTACAGATGAAGAAATTGAGGTCCAGAGAGGGGAAGTGACCAGCCCAAGGTCACATAGATGGGAGAGGGTGGGGCAGGAAGGTATCTTACCTTCATCTGTTGAATCAGCAAAATTCAGCATTTGTATATTAAGCACCTACTCTGCTCCGACCACAGTGTGTGGGTACTAGGGATGCTGAGACCCAGTCCTTTCCCTAAAAGAGCTCCAGCCGCCCAGGGGAGTTGGGTGCATTTTTCCCCAAGAGCAATAACGGGGGTGAGTGCAGGGCCCAGTCTTCCCTGAGGCTCCCCCAGGGAAGGCTCCCTCTTGGTGTTGGGGGGGGACCCCGGAACTGCCCACAGTGGGCAGGTGGGAGTTTTGGTGACCATGGCAGAGGGGGGGAAGAGTGTCCCAGGCAGGGGGAACAGCATGTGCGAAGGTCTGGAGGCGATGATGGCATGTTGGGCCAGTCTTGCCATGCTGTGTGGCAGTGACCCCTCCCCTTCTCCTCTTTCCCCACCATCACCTGTGGACAGACAAGGGGATGTGGCCCTGCCCCCCTACTACCAGCCGGAGGAGGACGACGAGATGCCCTTCATCTGCTCCCTGTCGGGGGACAACGGCATCATGGGCTGCCACGAGATTCCCCCGCTCAAGGAGCAGGGCCGCGAGTGCTGCCTGTCCAAGGATGACGTCTATGACTTTGGGGCGGGGCGCCAGGACCTCAACGCCAGTGGGCTCTGTGTCAACTGGAACCGCTACTACAATGTGTGCCGCACAGGCAGCGCCAACCCCCACAAGGGCGCCATCAACTTTGACAACATCGGCTACGCCTGGATCGTCATCTTCCAGGTGGGGCCCTCGGGCCTGGCGCCGGCCCCCATGCTGGGTGGGGTGAGCAGCTTCACCTGGCAGGCGGGGCTCTGTGCTGGGGGTTTGCCACCCGTGTCATTGAAACCTACCCGTCCTGCTGGCACAACAGGCACTATCAGCCCATGTTACAGACAGAGCAACTGAGGTTCGAAGAAAGGGCTGTAGGCCCTCGGGTGTATTGCCTGATGCCTCTGTGCCTCAGTTTTCTTATCTCTAAAATGGGGGTAATAACAGCTGCCCCCCCCGACCTTGAGTGGCTGAGAAGAATAAACCAGATTGATGCCAGCCGAGCCTGGTGTGCAGTGAGTGCTCAGTCAAGGTTGCCTTCCTGCTGTCGTCAGAAGGAAGGATGGGGCAGGTGCAGAGGGTGGTGGCTGAGAAGCCGCTGAGGGGTCTGCTTGGCACGCTTCGCTCTGGGGAGCAACAGGATCACAGAATTCAGAGCTGCAAGGTGTGATGTCATCACAGCCCAGCAGCTGCGTTTTGGGTCCCTTCGGCCCCGAGAAGGTGGGTGGCAGTGACCTGGCAAACGCTCTGTGCATTTGCCAGAAGCGAACAAGACCGCGGTGCTGGGGGCACTGGGCGTTCGTCTCGCCCAAGGCTCTTCTGCTTTCCTCTCTGGGAAAGCGCATGGGCGACAGAGTCACACCAGGCTTCTCACAGCCCCCGTCCCGGGCTCACCTGAGCTGCGCCCTGACCCTGCCAGGTAGGCTCTGTTGATCCCACACACTGAAGAAGCAGCCGAGGCTCAGAGAGTGGCCCAGGGGGTGAGCTGGCGCCGCAGCCCAGGGCCCCCTGCTTCCAGTCCTTCTGCCTTGGTGTGGAAGACTGGAAGGTGGGGGGCTCTGGAGCGAGAGGCACCAGGTTAAGTCCCTCGTCCACTCCTTCCTGGCTGTGTGACATTGGGCGAGTGTCCTACCCTTCTGAGCCTCCGTTTCCTCACTTGCGTGTTGGGGATGGGGATGGCTGCCCCGTGGAGCCCTTGGGAGAAGTATGAGGGGGGACACGTGTCGAGTGTCCCGGCACGCAGCGGGGCTTCTGTCTGGGGCAGCTTCCCCTTTGCTGCCCGCCTTCCTGGAGGCTCAGCCGTCTCAGGCTCTCGCTCTCCTCTTCTGCTCCGTCCTGGCTGCAGGTGATTACCCTGGAGGGCTGGGTGGAGATCATGTACTACGTGATGGACGCGCACTCCTTCTACAACTTCATCTATTTTATCCTGCTGATCATAGTAAGTGTCAGGGGAGCTGGGGCTCTCTGGGCAAAAGCTCAGGGACCCATGGGCCAGGGGACCCCAGAGTGGGGGCGGGGCTCTTTGGGAGTCCCCAGGGTGCCCCTGCAGAGCCCGAGTGCTGAGTGGGAGAGAGCAGGAGGGGCGGTTTGTAAATGCAGCCGAGCAGCAGGTGGCTGAGGGAGCTCGTCGGGGTGGCCGTGGAGGCATCCATCACTTCCGATTGCCTTCTCTTCTCATTTCTGGGCATTTAAGTCCACCCGCTGCTCCTGCCTGTGTTTCTCTGCCTCGTAGTCTTTGGGAATACATCCTTTTATGACCATAGCAGGGATGCAGCCTCAGGATGGGAGCGTCTCAAGGGCTCCAGCACCTCCCTCGTTTCCTGGGGTGGGAAGATGAGATGCTGTGAAACGGAAGCCCGGGGCTGCTTCCCGGGCAGGGTCTGGAGGGGAGGCTGAGTCTGGTTGTGAACTGGTAGAACTCCCTGAAATTCTCGGAGGGACTCCCAGCTCTCGGGCAGCTCTGTCTTGTGGGGGAGACCTGGAGAGGAAGGGGTGTTCTCTCTGCCCCCAGAGAGGGCCCGCTGTCTGGCCGGCCCCTCCCGCCTTCCCCTGCACGGTCTCCCCAGAACGAGCTCATCCACCTTGTCACGCCCGGGCGCAGCTTCAGCCACAGCGCAGTCCCCAGATGTCAAGGTGATTCCCTCCTGGGAGAGTCGCTGCTGGCCCCCTGCTGCTGCAGGGCTGGGATCTCTGGTTTCCTGGCCGTGGGAGAGAGCGCGCTTGGGACTCCAGGGCAGCACCCCATCCTGGGCTGCTGGGACTTTGACCCGGGGGCTCAGAAGCCGACCTGAGACACCCCCGCTGTTGGCTTAGCTTTGATGCCTTCCTGGGGGTGCTGGGGCCTTGGACCCATGAGGAGACGCCCTAGAGAGAAAGAGAGGGGCCCAGGCTTTGTTCAGCATTGCCGTCCATCCACTGGCTTGTTCATTCCCTAGCACATTCGGGGAAGCCTGCTCTGCGCCAGGCCCTGAGCCGAGTGCTGGGTACTGAGCAGTGAGTCAGGCCCTCCCTGCCCCCTGGGAGCTCACAGCCTTGTGGGGGAAGATGGGCTACAGCAGACAGGTACCAGCCTGCATCTTAGGAGCCACCACCGAAGGAAGCCCAAGAGGCTGAGGGAGCCCACAGGAGGCCTCTCACCCGGCTTGGAGGAGGGATAGGGAAAGGGAGAGGCTTCCTGGAGGAGGTGATGGCAGAATTGAGCCTTAAAGGCTGGAGGGGGAAGAGCCAGAGGAAGAGCCTTCTGGGCAGGGGGCGCCTCACAGAGACCCTGAGGCCAGACGGAATCCTGCAGTGGGGGGACTGTGAACCACTGAGGTTGCGAGAGGAGCCTTGAGTTCCAGAGAGAGGCTGGAGGACGCTTCATCGGCTTCTCCTCATGGACTTAGGGGTGGAGTCTGGGGTTGGTAACTCCCAGCATGACCCTGGGCAGGACCCTTAGCCCCCTGAGCTCACAGTGATGGCACCTGGCTCACGGGCCCTGGGGAGGGTTAGAGGAGACAGAGCCTGCGGCTGCACAGCCCCTGGCACACAGTACATGCTCAATAAACGTGTCCTGCTGCTATGATTGCTGCGACTACTGGGCCCGGGGGGCCCTGTCACGGGAGAAAGGGTGCTGGTAGGAGGCTGGGGAGGCTGAGTTTTCCAGCATCCAGCGAGCAGAGGCTGAGCGACTGTGCCGTTCTTTTACCCTCACAACCCTGGCCACGCAGGGCCACCTGCTGTTTCCCAGCTGTGGACCCTGAGCCCCAGAGAGGTGAGGTGTCTGGCCTGGGCCACACAGCCGGTGAGGGGTCCTCAGCCTTTGCACGCAGGTCCCCAGGACTCCTTCTGAGTGCAGAAGTCCTAAGCTCGTCCGAGCCTTATGTTTTTGATGGGGAAATGGAGGTTCAGAGGGAATGGGGAGCTGCCGGGTCACCCAGGGACAGCAGCCACAGAGGCGGGCTGGGTAGAGGCTGCCAGGTGTGAACTCCCAGCGGACGGGGTGGGTCCGCGCCCCTCACACAGGCCTGCTGAGCGGGTCTCCAGGAAATGCGGAGAGAGCAAATGAGTGAGGCATCTTCTTACTCTAGAGGCAGGGGGTTTTCCCAGAGTCCTCTGGGCCAGGAAGCCCCCCCGCTCCCGCAACCCCTCCTGAGCCCCAGCTCCCCAGCTATGCTGTGGGGGAGAGGAAGGAAGGGGGATCAGTGACTGGGGCTGCGGCCTACAGGAACCTTCTGGCAGGCAGCCTGGAGGAGGGTGAAACGCACACTGCCCCCTCCCTCTGGCAGGTGCGAGTCTGCCGCTGAGTCTGTTCAAAGGCTTAGCATGTGCCTGGGAGGCGCCTGCCTCTGGAAACTGGGGCTCTTCTGCCTGCGGTGGCCCCTGGAGCTGGGCCCTGGGACTTGAGGTGGCAGATTCCTAGCACTAGCCAGGTAGCCTTTCCCCATCCAAGCCCAGATAAAGATGCCCAGCTAAGCCCTTTCTGAGGGAAGCTTGTCTTTTCTTGTCTGGAGGCCCAAAGTCAGGGCCGTAGTGAAGGCAGGGCTGGGGTGCGACTCAGGGCCCGGGTAGCCTGAGGGGGGCTGTGCCTCCCTCCCTGCCCTCAGCGCTGATGTCCCAGGTGGGAGGGCAGCCGTGGCCAAGGCCTAGGGGCCTGAGGGGAGAGGGCTTGGAAGCAGGCCTCAGGGGGGCCTGGGGAGCTGCCTGGGCCACCGCTGTCCTGAGCCCCGGCCTCCTCCCAGAGCAAGGCCTCAGCGCTCTTTTCCTGTCCCTATCTGTGCCCGTGCCTCTCTGTCTCTCTGGGCGCTCCGCCCTCCCCTCCTCTCTCCCTGTCCCCACCCGCCCGTCACTTTGTGCTTCCCACACCCTCCGTTTCTGTCCTCTCTGAGCCTGTCTCACTCTCCCCTGGTGTCCCTCCTTGCCCTTGTCTGTCTGTACCCCCCTGTCTCTGGCTGTCTCTTTCCCTGTTCCATGTCTGGGATCCGCCCCTGCCCCTCCTCCGGTCTTCCTTTCGGCCTCTGTATCCCTCTGCTTCTCGCCCTGCCTCCGTCCCTCCATCTCCATCGCCGTCTCCCCGTCTCCATCGCCGTCTCCCCATCTCCGTTGCCATCTCCCCGTCTCCATCGCCGTCTCCCCGTCTCCATCGCCGTCTCCCCATCTCCGTCGCCGTCTCCCCGTCTCCGTCGCCGTCTCCCCGTCTCCCCGTCTCCGTTGCCGTCTCCCCGTCTCCATCGCCGTCTCCCCGTCTCCATCGCCGTCTCCCCGTCTCTCTTCCTCCTTCTCCATCTCCCTCTCCCACCCTCCCGCCCCTGCTCCCACCTCCTCTCACCCCACCGTCCCCTCTGTCCCTGTCCTCTCCTCCCGTTGGTCACAGGTGGGCTCCTTCTTCATGATCAACCTGTGCCTCGTTGTCATAGCGACCCAGTTCTCGGAGACCAAGCAGCGGGAACACCGGCTGATGTTGGAGCAGCGGCAGCGTGACCTGTCCTCCAGCACGGTGGCCAGCTATGCCGAGCCCGGCGACTGCTACGAGGAGATCTTCCAGTACGTCTGCCACATCCTGCGCAAGGCCAAGCGCCGGGCCCTGGGCCTCTACCAGGCCCTGCAGAGGCGGCGCCAGGCCCCGGGGGCACCCGGCTCCACCAAGCCCAAGCCCCACGTCAAGGAGCCCAGGCACTACAGTAAGTGGCCCACCTCCCCTGACCTCCAGGGTGCCCTGCGCAGGCCTCGTGTGCCTCTAGCTGGGGACTCAGAAAGAGCACTGTTTGCAAACGTGCCCTGTCTTCCCAGCACAAGCAGAGGTATCCAGCAAGTTCAGAACCCGGACCTTCCCCTGGTAGCTCCAGTCCACACTCCCGGGTTCCCTGCCCCCTTTCCTGACCACCTGCTGGTGCCTGGCCTGGGCTAGCCCTGCGCTTGGGGGACCTAGCCCTGCCCTGGAGGAATTTTCTTCGGATCCCACGTGTGCACAGAGACTCAACCTCCGCCCTGGGAACCACGCTTGAAAGAATGAACAATAGCCTGTCCTTAGTCTTGTGAAACTATAAAATCCCTCCACCACTGTAGCCTGTCTCCGTTCTCACCCCGCTGATCCCCCATGGGTTCCTGTGACCGCCTGCCGGCTTGCTAGCACACCTGAGCAGCATGTCAGGCACCTGGAATGAAAGGGCCGTGGCCAGCCCTGCAGGGAGAGGCGGGGCATGCTGGGGACACACGAACACTGTGATCTGCTCCTGCCTTGGGACCATTTCTCCTTCTCCACTGTAGACGGTTCCAGAGAGTTAGCTGCGTAGGCTTAAAAAGGGGTTTCCATTTGTTTCCTCATCTGTTCTAGAAAACAGTCCTGCGAAGGGAGCAGAGTGAGTAGTATTAGCCTCAGTGTTCAGATGGGAAAACTAACGTCCAGAGGGATGAAGGGGGTCCCTTAAGGTCACAGTGTCAGTGACCAAAGCTCGGCATTGGGGACGTCAGAGTTGCAGGCTCTGCTGAGCCCACCTCTCACGGGACGTGAACCGCTCCCGTAGGAGGAGGCAAAGGGCCACAGGAACAGGAGGTGGGCCCCACCCCAGGCCCAGTCCTGCCCCCAGGCAGTGCCCACAAGGAAGTCAGCCGGCATCAGCCCAGAGTAGGCGCAGCTGTGACGGTGGACGGCCCGGCTCCCCGCCGTGGAGTGAGGATGAGGCCGTGCGCTGTGGGAGCCGGCCACCCCCAGGCCCTGCCCCTGCAGGTCTCACGTTCTGGGAACCTGAGGTTCTCGGAGGCAAGCTGGCGGCCAGCCATCCAGGCGTGGTCTTGGAGGCTCCAGGTGGCCCGTGGGCTGGCCCAGCACGTGGACAGGGGAGCTGGGGGCGGGCAAGGCTGGCACCCCGCGTTCCTGGATGACGCGGGGAGGGGTGTTTACAGCTCAGGGCTTCCTGCTGCCGCCCATCGCCCTCTCCGTGGAAACCTCGTGGAGAGAAGCCCTAGACAGGCTTCTAGAGGGAGGCCGTGCCCCCTGCCCTGGGCCTTCGTGCCTCCCCCATCTCCCTTCCTTGGGAAACAAGTGTCAGGGGGCCCAGCCCCATGTACAGTTGGGCTGGGAAGGGCTTTGCCGTGACCTCCAGCACTGACGTGGCCCACCCTTGGGCTTCCTGCTGCCCCACCGGTGTAGAGGGTGACTGAGTCAGAGAGCCTTGTCCAGACACAGGGAGGTGTTTGGAAGCAAGTGTGGAAATGGACGGTAGACATTACAGGTTTTTCTTTCCCTTTAACGGCATTTATTTATATTTTGCTCCTCAAGCCAAACCTGTGTATTCTAGGAAAACACAGACAAATATAAAGAAGGAACCAAACTATCCAGAAAGAGCCCCTCTGACACCCCTTTGAAATGGTTCACAGATCACAGAACGTGGGTCCAAGACTGGCCCAGCTTCTCGCACTCTCCCTGGGCAGCTGGGGGGATGACAGCTCCTGCCCCCTCCCAGGGTTAACCCCGACTCAGCTGTGTCGGGGGGAGTCGTAGGGGGTGGTGCTTCTAGAGCAAGTGCTTGCCCCTGCCCCGGCTCCACGCTTCCTCCTTGGTGATAGGCCCCCCACACGGGCGGGAGAATTGAGGAATGCCGAGGCCACCTTGGCTTCCTCTGAGGGGTGTCTACCCTCCACAATGGCCTTTTCAGCCGTTTTCCAAGCTCCATGATATCATGAAGAGGACGGTGGGGAGGGGCTGGGGTTTCTGAAGGGTCTTTCAGTGACCAGACTGGGGCCACGGGGCGGGAAGTGACAGGGCAGGACACGGCTCTGGGCTCATCCCGCGTATTAACCACAGGATCCGCCCCGTGGCCCCGGTGTGTGGGTGTTCCTGGTGCCAGCTTTTCCTCGGGGGCCAACGAAGCCCAGAGGGTGAAGCTGTTTCCCCAGGACCCACGAGCCCCTTGGCCTCCAGGCAGGGCTGGCGGCTTCCAGGCAGACCCTGTGGGCACACACGAGTGGTAACCCAGGTTGGGCCGGGCCTAGTGCGCGCGGGGGCCGCCTCCTGCGGGACCCGAGGCACCAACCCCGGCCTCGGCTTCTTTTCCAGAGCTGTGCCCCCGACACAGCCCCCCGGACTCGACGCTCCACACGCCGGTGCAGCCCGTCTCTGCCATTCTGGCCTCCGACCCCGCCAGCTGCCCCCGCTGCCAGCACGAGGCGGGCCGGCCGCCCTCAGGCCTGGGCAGCAGCAACTCGGGCCAGGAGGGCTCAGGCTCCGGGGGCTCAGGCTCCGGGGGCTCGGGCGGCGGCGAGGACGAGGCCGGCGAGCCCGGGGCCCGGAACGGTGAGGACGGGGCCTCCTTGGAGCTGGAGAAGGAGGACGAGGAGGGGCAGGAGGATGGGGCTGCCTGGCTGTGCGGAGACGTGTGGCGGGAGACACGAGCCAAGCTGCGGGGCATCGTGGAGAGCAAGTACTTCAACCGGGGCATCATGATGGCCATCCTGGTCAACACCGTCAGCATGGGCATTGAGCACCACCAGCAGGCGAGTGTCGGGAGGCGGGGCCCGCGGGGCCTGTCGAACGCCCGCCGTCTGTCTGTCTTCCCCTGACCTGCGTCCCCTTCAGCCACGTGACCTCAGTGCCCAGCCCAGGGCCAGGCACAGAGGGGGTGGAGCTCAGGGTCAACAAGTGACCGAATGGCCCCTTGGGCTGTGGACAGGGGGATGTGGTTCCTTTCCCTCTGAGCCTCCCAGCGTGGACACCAGGTCCCCCACAACCCATCCCCCGCCAGTCCCTGCAGACTCCTAACTTCCATTTGTCGCCTCTCCATGTGACCCTCCCGTCTCTTCTCTCCAAAACGGCTGGAGTGGTCTTTCCAGAGACTGGGAGCGCCCCTGTCCCCAAACTTCCAGAGTGCCCGCTGACCTTGGCAGAAAATTCAGACCTTTCCACTGATATTCAAGGCCCTTTGTGCTCCATCTGCAGCATATTGATACCTTCCGCAGGTGGGACGCCCTCCTGCCCCTCACGTCCCCCACTTACTCCCCGCCTCACCACAGCCCCACGGCACTGAGGGGCCCCAGGGGTGCCCTGTGGAGGCTGTCCCCCATCTCCCTTCTCGGCCAAACCTGTGGTTTCTTCTGTCTTCAGCTCTGGGTGCGTGGGGCGCAGGGAGGGTGTTGGCTGTGTTGATTGGTGTGTCCCAGGCCCCCTAGGCCATCGGGGGTACTGCTGGGGGTTCACAGGTGAGATGAGTTCAGAGAAAGGGTCCCCAATGGGGGATAGCACATGGAGGAGGGCATGGCTTCTGGGAAGTAGCAGGAGCACAGGGAGGATGTGTACAAGAGGGTCTTTGTGGAGACACAGGATGGAGGGCTCTGGGGGGTTCGCACAGATGTCCCCAATCCATAGGTCACACCCCGGGTGACAGCCCGGACAAGTCCAGCCCTGGATCCATTTGGAAAAACATCATTTTCTGCCTCCCACTGTCCCCCAGCTGCTAGGTGGGGTCCCTCCCTTAAGCTGCACCCCTTTCCTATGCGGCACTCCGTCTGGCAGTTGGCGACCCTGAGGCCCAGGGAGGGGATGTCACTGGCCCAAGGTCCCATAGCCAGTCAGGGGCCGAATTTGAACCCACATCTTTGTGTGGCAAGACTGACACCACCGCAGAGTTTAGGGTTTTGACGCCTCCTTGGCTTCCCTGTGGCCCTCTTTCTGCAGGCCCCCTCTCCCCCGCTGTGCCCCGTGGGGGGCCACACTCTCGTTTCCCTCTTCATTCACTCACCAGGCACTGTCTTCATTCAATTTACTTAGATGCGGCCCCTGGGGCTGCCGCCACGCTCTGCGCGGGGCTGCCTGTCTGCCAGTTATTCCGGCTTAACTAAGTGTCTCTGGGGAGGGCTGGGGAGGCTGTCTGCAGGGTAAAGCTGGTGAGACAGGCAGGCTGGACCCCCTCGCCTAGGGTCCGGCCTTCTGGCCTTTGCCTGGCCCAGCCTCCCCGGGGAAGGCCCCACAGGGAACCTGCACTGTTGGGGTGCTGGCTCTAGCTTCTGGGTGGGGCAGCGCCAAGGGCGCCTGTCGCAGTCCTGCTACACCAGGGCCTGAGCACCATCCCTGCCGGTGGCTTGTGGAACCAGCTCGCAAGAGCCAGTTTTCTCATACTCAAGGATTTTGCAAGCCCGTCGTTATAAACAGTTGGTAGCTTGAAATTGGCCATGGTGGGAGTATTTACACCATGGAAATTGACATACGCTGCCAATCAGGGCGATATTTTTCAGAGGCCCGTTTGCCAGTGTACTACTGGTTCCTGCCTTCCCAGCCACCCCTTCACGGCCAGACACGGTGGCCAGGGTGGCTCCATCCTCTGGGTCCAGCTTCTCCCTCTCTCCGCAGCCCCAGCCTCAGGCCAGGCTATGGTCCTTGCCCAAGCCTCCTCAGGGTCTTCCTGCCTGGCCTGTCCCCCCTCACTTCTTCTGCCACGTCCTTTTGGGCAAACTTTCTTTTTTTTTTTTTGGCGGTACGCGGGCCTCTCGCTGCTGTGACCTCTCCCGTTGCGGGGCACAGGCTCCGGACGCACAGGCTCAGCAGCCATGGCTCACGGGCCCAGCCGTTCCGCGGCATGTGGGATCTTCCCGGACCGGGGCACGAACCTGTGTCCCTCTGCATCGGCAGGTGGACTCTCAACCACTGCACCACCAGGGAAGAGGGCAAACTTTCTAGCCTCCAGACGGGGGAGCCTCTTCTCTCTGGCACCGTAGGACCCCTCTTGGTCCCCCCACTGGGTTGCCCTCAGCAGGTGCTCTCTGCCCCTTCAAAGGATCCTCCCTGGCTTTCTCATCCACAAGCAGGTGCCCTAACTTCGTGCCCTTTCCGTCATAGGGATTGGCTCCCTGGCACCAAGTGCCAGGCCGCGAGCCAGCCTGGTGTATTGAGTCCTCACAACCATCCTCAAGACAGGTCTTAACAACCCTCCTCTGCCCACCCCCCGCACCCCCCCCGCCAATCCCGGCCGCACCTGAAGACCACCGCCAGAGAGCTGCAATTTGCCGCTCCAGGTCTGGGCTCCATCCCTGCTTCTGCTGTCGACTGGTAGGGTGGCCTTGGGCAAGTCAGTTGGCCTCCTGCGGCCAGTGTCCCCCATCTGGAAACGGGCACAGAAACCCCCTACTCCCGGAGTAGCTGGGAGGGTTCGATGCGTTAAGAAGCCTGGCGCACAGTAGGTGCGCACTCGTTAGGAAAGATTTGTGATACTTATTGGAGCGTTACCCCACCACCCTCAGGGTAAGTTTACCAGCTGGTGTCTGGAGCCTCAAAAAATTATTAATTAAGGAAAAAGTGAGGGGGAGGGAGGATTTAAAAAATACTCTCTTTAAAGCAGCTCCGAGCGGCAGCCATTGTTTGGCCAAGCTCTGCGCAGAGCCTGCTTGTGGGGGGCGCGAGAAGTTCTGCTCCACACCCCTGGCTCCCAGACACTGCTGGCAGGAAGCCCTCCGCCCCTGAGGTTGTTCTGAGCAGCCCCTGAGGTGCTGCCTGCAGAGAGAGGCGGCCCAGGGCTGCCAGGGGGCAGGGAGAAAGGGGGGAGCTGGAGGAGAGGCTGGTGAAAGCTCGCAGCCCCTCTCCCGCAAAGCAAGTGACTGCAGAGGGAGGCATCGTGGCGGCCCCTGCCGGCAGGGAGGTTGGTGTGGCCACCGGGTGGGGGCCCAGGGGGGCCGGTGGTGAGGGCAGGACAGAGCCTGGGCTTTGCTTTCCGGCTCCATCTGTGAAGTGGGGCCACCCCGGCCTCTGTGGTCACAGGTGCTCGAATGAGGTGAGACTGTGGGTGCCCGTGGTTTTTAGGTGGCCACTGCTGCTAAAATCACAAGGGAGTGTCACCAGGTTCCTCATGGCCACAGCTACTCCTTGCAGGGACTGGCCTAGGAGGAGGTGACAGGGGAAAGTGGGGGTCAGCCAGGCAGTGACCTGTGTGTGACCCATGAGGTGGTCAGATGGTGCAGAAGTCGGCATAGCCCTGGAGGGGAGTGGGCCCGGAACAGTCTGTGACTGAGGCTGCGTGACAGGCAGGTGGGCGGGGTCGGCTTGGGCAGCCAGATTTCTCTGTCATCATTTGCTGTCACATATCTTCCCGGTGTGATCCCCTCGGCAGCCCCCAGGGCAGGCGGGGTGAGTGTCTTGTCCCCACTGGGCAGATGGGGAAACCGAGGCTCAGAGAGGTGGACTGCCTTGCCCAGCGTGATGCGGTGAGAAGCTGAGATGCTGAGGTTGAATTGGAGGTTCCAGGAGGCCGACGGGAAGGGGTGGGGAGGCACTGCTCCTGGGAGCAGGCTCTCTCAGCCCCTCCCTCTCCCAGCATTCGCCCGTCCCGGCCCATGACTCCTCCGGAGCTGCACCAGGCTGTCCTGGAGCTAGAGGATGCTCACCACGTCGGACAACAAAGAGAGGGTCAGGCTTTATTCTCTTTTCAGCAGTCTCAGCAAGTCACTGCCAAGCCAGATCTGGGGTGACTCTGGGAAGAGGAAGATGGAGTGGCTCAGTACCTGATGTTCCAGCTCTGTGAGGACTTAGGGGAGAGAGACACCAACGTGAACTGCAGTTGGGGAAGACTTCCTGGAGGCGATGGCACTGGAGATGGATCCTAAAGGATGACTGGGATTTCATTAGACAAAGGAGGAACAGACGCAGGAGCATGGGCATTCCTACGAAAGACCCTGAGCCCTCAAGGAGGATGTGCCCATGGGGCAGGGCAGACAGCCCAAGAGGCCAGGGGCTGTCAATCCATGAAGGGTCTTGAGACTGGCTCTATCCTTAGGGCAGTGGGGAGCCATGGAAGGCTTGTAAGCAGGGCAGTGACCTGTCCGTGCTGAACTGGAGCCTGAGGTCAGAAGAGTGGTGCAGGTGAGGGCACCTGGGCCACGGGGAGGTGGGGCGGGCCAGAGGGAGGACACCTGGGTTTGAGATCGGATTTTATCACTGCCTGGCTGTGGCCAGGGACAGTCACTTCTCTCTGAGCCTCAGGTTTCCTGGCTGTAAAATGTGGATGCTATAGGGTAATGTTTGAGCTTAGACAGGATAACCCGTGGAAAGTGCTCAGCACCGCCTGGCACATGGGAGGTGTTTCAACACTGGCTGCCGTTGTTATCACGAGGACGATGTTGGGCTCAAGGGGTCCCTGGGGGCAGCTTAGAGACCCCTGTCCAGCTGGGCCCTTATCTGGCCCTGCAGAAGTGGCCAGAGGCTGGGCAGCTGGGCCTCCCAAGCCTGGCGTCCAGCAGGGATGAGCTGGCCCTGCCCCTGCCCCGTCTCCCTCTGCTTCTGGCCTCACCTTCAGGTTGCAGCCCCTCCTCAGCGGCCCTGTATCCTCCTGCCTCCGGCTTAACCTGGTTTTTCTGCCCTTCGGCACCTCCTCTTCCATGGGGTGGGCCTTTGCCATCTCCAGCCACCTCTCTGCAGTCTCTGCCTGTCTGTCTGTCTGCCTGCTCTCTCTCACTTTCTGGCTCTGTCTCTGACTCACAGTGCCATGATCTTGGTCTTTCATTATGTGTTTATCTCTGTTTTTCTCTCTGTCTTGTCTCTCCACACCCTGCATTTGCTTCTCACTCCCTGGGTCTATATTTGTCTGTCTATCAGTCCAACTCTCTTTCGAGTCTCTCTTTCTCCATCTCTCTCGTGGCTGCCCTGTCCCTCTCCACATACCACCCCCTTTGGTCTCTCACTCACTGTGTATTTGTCAATCTCTCTCTCCCGCTCGCTGTCTCTCTCAGAAAAATGCTCATAGGAGTGATGGATGGTCTATTAGAAAAAGATTAACAGGTGTGCGCTCGACTAGAGAAACAGCTCTTGCGAGGGAGGAGGGGAGCAAGTGGGTGACCTACCTTTCGGGGAGAGCAGAGCTGCAGGCTCCGCATCTGTTTCAGGTGGGCGGGAGTGTGTGTGCAGTGCGTGTGGCCCAGAGCAGGGTGACTGCCATCACGGCCTGTCAGCGTCCAAATCTTTCGCCTCTGTTTTGGGGGGCTAGGAAATTGGTGGCTCTGAGTAGCATCTGGGCCCTGACTCAGCCAGGGATGCCGGGCCCCAGCTCCTCCTCCACTGGGGGCCTCTCTCAGGGTCCCACTCCCCTTTTGGGACCATTCTGTGAGTCAGATGTAATTACAGATGGAAATGGTGCCTTCTCCTTTTATCTGGCCTTGAGAGGAGCCGGCAGTATTATTAGATTTCCCAGGCACCAGGCGGGAAGCGGGAGGGCTGGGTTGTTATTTTTTTCTCTTCTCCTTTTGGCCCAAGTGGAATCAAAGTCAGGTGCCTGAGGCCCTGTTGCTCGGTGTGGGGTGGAGGGGTGGGGCGTTGGGGGGAGGGTGGCTGGGCTGGGGTGGGCGGTGCTGATGCTGGGAACTCTCCCGCCTCCCAGCCCGAGTTCGGGCTGGTCTCTTCGCCTGGACAACCTTCTCTTCTCCCTGTCACCCACTCCCCCTCTCGGCTTTGAGGTGTCCCTGAGATGTCACTTTCTATAGGAAGCTGCTCCTGACTGCACTGCCCTGTTCCCCCAAACCACCCTCAAGTTCCCTCTGTTTTCATCCCCGCCAAGTGGTTTGTTAACTTGCGGATGGGCTTTGCCAGCGGAGCCTGCGCTTCTCAAGGGCAGGAAGAATGTGCTGATTCATTCACCACCACCCACCCCGGGTAGCACAAGCCCAGCCCCTGACGATGCTTGGGAGACCTGTGGAGTGCACGCAGTGATGAACAAGTGGATGACGGATGGACGGGTTCGGGGAGGTGTGGGTGTGGACACCGGGAGAGCAGTTCGGAGTCTGACTTGGTGGCTCTGCCCAGCCTTGCCGGGTGGCTCTGAGCAAGGCAGTTCCCTTCTCTGAGCCTCAGTTTCCTCATCTGTAAAATGGAGCTGCTAACAGTGGCCTCACAGATTGACTGTCAGTAACTGTGTTGGGGTTGAGCTCAACACGGGCACATGTTCAGGCCTAACAAATGGCCCTTCCCTTCTCCGTGATTCAGGCGGAGGGGCCAGGGCTGGGGGAGGGGCAGGGAGAGAAGGGGCTGGAGCCTTGTACGGCCCTCATCTTACTCCATTCCCTCGATTTATGGATGAGGAAACTGAGGCCCAGGCTGTTGGGGGGAGGACCTGGAACCCCACCCCCAGTCGTGGCCAACAGGGTGGCCTGTTTCATACACTGGGGTTCCTTGCGTGGTCCCACTTGCAGGGGTGTCACCTACTGCTAATAACCAGCAAGTAAACAGCTCCAGGGGCAGAGGTTGGATCTGCGGCCAGAGGGGCCAGTCTCCCTCTGAGCAGCTGGTGACTTTGACCCTTAACCTCTCTGGGCCTTCGTGTCCTCCTCTGAGAAGCGGGAGAAGTAAGCCCCACTGACCAGGTGGTCAGGTGGATTGAGAGCCGTGGTGGCACACAGTAGGTACGCGGTCTCTGTCCTCCCTTCCCAGGGCAGATGGTCTCCAGCCACCCACAATCCTGAGATGGCCATTGCTAAGGAAGGAAGGAGGTGAGGGGAAGGCTGTGTAGGGAGGTCTGCACAGGCAGGGGTTAAGGGTGGAGACTTGGAGCCAGGCTGCCTGGGTTCAAACCCTGGCTCTGCCCCTTACTAACTGTGCAGTCTCAGGCAGGGGACTGGCCTTCTCTGAACCTGCTTCTTCATATGCATAATGGGCTCTCGTGAGGGACTAAGTTACATGACGCCTATGAAGTGCACAGGGCAGGTCCTGCACGTGCTCCCAAAACGGATTAGGGTCGTGGGCAAACGGGGTTTCCGCAGCCACTGGTTTGCCTTCTTGTCTTGCTCTGTGTCTAGCTGTGTAACCTCTGGCTTGTTTCTGAGCCTTAGTTTCCTTATCTGTAAAATGGGTATCATAATGTGGCCCTTAGTGTGCACTACCAGCATCATTGCCAACTTGGTGGAAGGTTAGCCCCATGTGTTCCCATCTCAGTGGACCTCTCAAGACAGCAGAGATGAGGCAGAGCTGTAGGTTTCTTGAGGCCAAGTGCAGGGGGAGGATGGAGCTCCGGCAAGGACACTGACCTGCAGGTCGTGGAGCCGGGGTGGCAGAGCCGGGCCTTCCCGGAGGTTCTAGAGCTGATGGGTATCCCGGCAGCCCTCTGGCCTGACCGGGTCCCCGTTCCCTTCCCCAACACCCCCATAGCCCGAGGAGCTGACCAACATCCTGGAGATCTGCAACGTGGTCTTCACCAGCATGTTTGCCCTGGAGATGCTGCTGAAGCTGGCCGCCTTCGGGCTCTTTGACTACCTGCGGAACCCCTACAACATCTTCGACAGCATCATTGTCATCATCAGGTGCCGACCTGCCCCCCCCAATCCCGCCCCTAGCCTGTGGGCCTAGAAACAGAACGGGGTGGGAGGGGGATTTAATGCACTGACCCCAGCCAGTAAATGAAGTACAAAAGATCAAAGGAAGCTAATTACACTGAAATACAGTTATCAAAATATTTGAAAATTTGTGATATAGCAGTGTATGCACTTCTGGATTAATTCATTAAATAGCAAGATACAGCAGTGGGTCCGTGACTACGATCATTCCAAAGAAAGGATGAGGATAAGTAATATCTGGAAACACCTGTATCGGCTGTCATGTGATAGAAAAGTATCAGTGATTTCGATCGGCCACGAGGTCACAGGAAGTGCTAATTCTCTGCTGTTTGTTGTTGACGTTCATAATCAAAAGAATGTTAAATCTCAAAAAGAGGTCAGTGATATTTATGGGCCATAGACTTCTTGCGGGGGGTGGTCCGTGGAATCCAGGTTCAGAGCCCTGGCTTCAGGGTGCCACGAGGCGCAGTGACCTGTCAAACAATACCCATTGGATGAATGAGTGAATGAAGGGAAGCTGTCCATCTCTCCGCCCACCTGGCCTCTCCTTCTTCCTTTGCCCTCGTCTCCTCCCGGCCTCCCTCTGACCCTTCCTGCCTCTCTCCCCTCCCCACCCCTGCCCGGCGGGCTGCAGCATCTGGGAGATTGTGGGGCAGGCGGACGGCGGGCTGTCGGTGCTGCGGACCTTCCGGCTGCTGCGGGTGCTGAAGCTGGTGCGCTTCATGCCCGCGCTGCGGCGGCAGCTTGTGGTGCTCATGAAGACCATGGACAACGTGGCCACCTTCTGCATGCTGCTCATGCTTTTCATCTTCATCTTCAGGTGAGTCCCGCCCACCCTGGGGCCACACCTGCGGGGCCTGCCAGGCCTGTGGGCAGAAACCTGGGGGAGTGTGGCTGGTTGAGCTTCTCCAGGCAACACCCCAGACCTGGATACGAATCCTGGCACCATCACTTAATCCCCTATGGCTCCGGGCGAGTACTGCCCCTCTGAGCCTCTGTGTTCACGTCTGTAAAATGGGACCCACACTGGCCCCTCCCATCTTAGTGGGTGGTTCTGAGAATGAAACAAGGTGGGTGGGCAGAGAGCTCTGTGTGTGTGAGTCCCCTGAGCCTCCTCTGCCTCTCCCCCAGCATCCTTGGAATGCATATCTTTGGCTGCAAGTTCAGCCTCCGCACGGACACGGGAGACACCGTCCCCGACCGGAAGAACTTCGACTCCCTGCTCTGGGCCATTGTCACGGTGTTCCAGGTGAGCCCCAGCATGCGTCCATGGGTGTCTGGGGAAGGGAGTTCTCCCAGGATCACCTTTTGGAGGTGCCCCCAGCCTCAGAGAATCCAGGGGAGAGCAGTGGCCTGACAAGGAGGCCCCTCAACCCCGGCCTCCGGTGGCCAGGCTGGCGCAGCGCTGGCTCTGGGAGCTGGACTGACTGCCCGCTGCCCGTCCCCGCCCCCTCGCTCCTGCCCTGAGACTGTGGGGTTAGGATTCTTCCCCGAGGCTGTTTCCTCACGTGTACTGTGGCCATGGTTGAGTGGGTGTGTACACACAGGTGTGGTGGGGGCAGAAGGAACAAGGGGAGAAGGCAGTGTGGGCTTGTGCCCTGGGTGGTGGGATACGGTGCTGAGAGGGTGGGGCTGGGGAGCAGCCAGGAGGGAGCACCGGTCCGTGGGGCGCACGTGTCAGGGCAGGAGGGTGTGACGTAGGTCTCGAGGGTGTGGGCGGGCCGGGCAGCAGGAAGAGGTGTGCGTGTGCGTGTGTGTGCGTGTGTGTGTGCGCGCACACACACACACATGCACCTGCATGACTCTGCGGCTCTGCCCCCAGCTAGGGCCGTGGTTTTCGAGGACCCTGGGTGTGCCCGAGCGTGTGTGAGAGGATGCTGTAGGTGCTCATGGGCTGCGACGTGCCTGCACCTAGGACACCCAGTGGGCTGGGAGGCCTGAGCTGTCCTCCCCCTTCCCCGCACAGATCCTTACCCAGGAGGACTGGAACGTCGTCCTCTACAATGGCATGGCCTCCACCTCCCCCTGGGCCTCCCTCTACTTCGTTGCCCTCATGACCTTCGGCAACTATGTGCTCTTCAACCTGCTGGTGGCCATCCTGGTGGAGGGCTTCCAGGCGGAGGTGACTGTGGCCCTGGTGGAGGAAGCACCCCTTTGGGGCCTGCACGAGACTGGGCGGGGGGTGGTCTGGATGGAGGAGGACTGCAATTCAAACATCTAGCAGGCAACAGGTCTCCAGAGGAGGGGGTTGCCAGTGAGGTGATGAGCTTCCCATCACAGGAGGCATGCAAGTGGGGGGAGATCTGCATCTAGGATCCCTGCCTCTCCCCCAGGGGTGTAGGCCTAGGCTTCTCCATCTCTGAGATCCTAAAGTCCCCAAGATCTGGGATTCTGGATCCTGCCTCCTTCATTTTCTGAGGCTTTGGGGACACTTACAATCAGGCAGATGTGGGTTTGTGGCCTAGGTCCTCGTTAGCTTCTCGCTTCCATTTTCTGAGCCTCAGTTTCCCCATCTGTAAAATGTGGGGGGGGGTGAAAACACCCATTGAAAAATTCAGGAGGGAGGGAAGGGCTAAGCTGACTTTTGTTCCAATGTGAGGGACGGTCTCCCAGGGCGACGCCAATCGCTCCTACTCGGACGAGGACCAGAGCTCATCCAACATGGAGGAGTTTGACAAGCTCCAGGAGGGCCTGGACAGTGGCGGAGGTAAACGGACCTCCACGCGTCACCTAGGAGGCCAGGACTCTTCCCCAGATCTAGTTGGGCAGAGGGCACAGCATCTGGTTTCCCCTCAAGCCAAGGCTCGGGACTGCTAGTTCTCTATGGTTTGTTGGTTACATTTATAATTGAAAGAATTGCTAAACCTCCAAAGGTCAGTGACATTCACGGCTCTCCTGAATTCTAGCCACAGGGGTGGCTGCAGCCCACCCTCACCCCTCCATACAGCTGGCCTGTAGCGAAGAGCCTTGGGCCTCAGGATGCCTGGCTTTTGTTTAGCGCCACTGCGCAGCTTGGAAGAAACCTCCCAGCCCAGGCTGTGTCCTTCTTAGTAACCGGGCTAAGCAGGCTCTGCCTTCTTCCTGCGCTGGGCATGGGAGTGAGGTTCCTATGTTGGGTGAAGCTCGGAGCTGGCCCTGAACACAGAAGGCAAGGGATCCACTCATCCAAAAATAAAGCTGAGAGCCTTGCAAATGGGGCAGAGGGGAGGCACATGTGATGGGGTCCAAGCAGGAGGACTTCCTGGTGGAGGAGGTCTCTCCAGAAAAACTCTTCATTTCTGTTACTGTCCCTGTCTGTTTCTTTGTCTCATGGCTTCTTTTGCTCTTGTTCTGTCCTCTTGTCTGCTCCTCCCTCTGTCTCTATCTGAACCCTCCAGATCCCAAGCTCTGCCCAATCCCCATGACCCCCAATGGGCACCTGGACCCCAATCTCCCACTGGGTGGACATCTGGGCCCCACTGGGGCTGCAGCATCCGCCCCCCGCCTCTCGCTGCAGCCAGACCCCGTGCTAATGGCCTTGGGCTCCCGCAAGAGCAGTGTCATGTCACTGGGGAGGGTGAGCTACGACCAGCGCTCCCTGGTGAGTCCTCGTGGGGTGCTCTGGTTGGCTACTCCCTGCTGGGTGTGTGCTGAGGGACCCTGAGAAGTGTCTGCCAGTCCAGCCTCAGACTGGTACCTAGGCTTAGGGCACCAGACTGCCCAGCCAGAAACAGGCAGGGACCATGTCTGTTGCTTTCCTGGGTGCCCAGGGACAGAGCAGGACCTGGCAACAAGGAATGAGTGAGTGAATGAACGAATAGTGCCTGTGGGTCTGGTGTAGAGAGGTGGGTTTTTGTTTTAGCAGCAATGTGTAGGGTTAAGAGCCGGGCCTTGGGGTTGGGCAGACCTGAGCTTGTATCTGGCCTCTGCCACTGCCAAACTTTGTAACCATGACCAAGTTACAGCCCTTCTTGAGCCTCAGTTTCCCTTCCTATAAAATGGGAAGATGCCCTGACTTACTGTACTGTTATCAAGGGAAAGGAGGTGGCAGGAGGGACATAGCCACACAGGGGAGGTGCCCATGTGTCTGTAGATGTGGATGGAGTGAGAGGCAGAGCAAGGAGAGGACCTCTGGGGTCTAGCCCCTTCTGTCCCCCACTGGCCAGGTGGGCAGCCCTCTTTGGGCCTCAGCAGGTGTGCAGGCTCCCTTCAGTCACAACCGTGGGTGTGTGTGGTGGCGCTGACCGGAGCCCCGGGCTTCCTCCCAGTCCAGCTCTCGGAGCTCCTATCACGGGCCGTGGGGCCGCAGTGGGGCCTGGGCCAGCCGTCGCTCCAGCTGGAACAGCCTCAAGCACAAGCCTCCATCGGCGGAGCACGAGTCCCTGCTCTCAGCGGCAGAGCGCAGCGGCGGCGCCCGGGCCTGCGAAGGTGCCCGGGAGGAGGGGCCGCTGCGGGCCGCGCCCCCGCACGCCCTGCACGCCCCGCACACCCCGCACGCCCACCAAGCGCAGCATGGTCCCCACCTGGCGCACCGTCACTGCCACCACCGCCGGACGCTGTCCCTCGACACCAGAGATTCGGTGGACCTGGCCGAGCTGGTGCCCGCCGTGGGCACCCACCCACGGACTGCCTGGAGGGCGGCAGGCCCGGTCCCCGGGCACGAGGACTGCAATGGCAGGATGCCCAGCATCGCCAAGGACGTCTTCACCAAGATGGACGACCGCCGGGATCCCGGGGAGGACGAAGAGGAGATGGACTACGTGAGTGCGCGAGGCTCTGGGGGCCACGGAGGGTACCACGAGGAGGTCAGCTGGGACGCAACGGGGAGTGGTCGAGAGGTGGCGCTGGAGTGGGAGGGACCGACAGGGGTCCCGCCTAAGGGGGACCCTGGCCATGGGGAGAGGGCTTCAGGTGGGTGAAGAGGGGGCGGGGCCGGAACACCTCTGAGCTGGGCCCGCCCCTGGGAGAGAAGCCCTCCCTGACCGCCCTGGGTGGGGTGAGGGTTCTGGTCTTGCAGGGAGAGTTCGGAGGTCATCCAGAGGCCCCACTTTGCTGGATGGTCAGGGTGGGTGGATATGAGCGGCTCTGGGCAGCGCTGACCCGCCAGCACCCCGTCCTCCCCTTGCCAGACTCTGTGCTTCCGCGTCCGCAAGATGATTGACGTCTACAAGCCTGACTGGTGCGAAGTCCGCGAGGACTGGTCTGTCTACCTCTTCTCCCCCGAGAACAGGTGGGCAGGGCCAGGCTCAGGGTGGCGTTAGAGTAGGGGGTTGACAGGTTTGGGAGGGAGAGATTTCTGGCAAGCCAAGCAGGGCCATTGGCAGGGCGCGGTGGGGAGGTAGGGGGCGGGCCTTCCGGCCCTGTAGTGGGGGGTCTGCTGGGGAGGAAGGGGTTCGTGTGGGGGCTTTCCTGGGCATCTCCTCTAGTCTAGGCCATCCTGTGCTGGGCACCAGGTTGGATAAATCTTCCGGTAACCTGGGGTGCTTCCATCTGGAGGGGGGCATCCGAAGGCTTCCTGGGGGAGGAGGCCTTTGTGCTGGGCTTTGGAGGCAGACAGCATTCTGTAGATGAAGAAGGGGTGGTAAGGAGGGGGAGGCTGGTCCAGGTGGAGGGAGCAGCCCGAGGGAAGGCCTGGGGGCAGAAGCTGAGGCTATCAGACAATGTGTCCATGCAGCCGGAGGACAAGGCTTAGAGATTCGGGCCAGTGTTTGGAAAGCTTTGCCAGGGCTAGGCGGGTGCCAGGAGCTTGCAGTGTGGTCAGCAGAGGTGGCTTCAGGTGGGCATCCTGAGCAGAGACCTAAAGCCGCCCCCTGTTGTGTGGCCAGAGAAAAGAAGGGTCAGCTTCCTCCAGGCCACCCTGGTTCTCATGTGTTCCTGGGGCCTTCCTCCTGGCCAGGGTAAGGGGCAAACTGACACTCACGTGGCCCCCTGCCCACCCTGCCCAGGTTCCGCGTCCTGTGTCAGACCATCATCGCCCACAAGCTCTTCGACTATGTCGTCCTGGCCTTCATCTTCCTCAACTGCATCACCATCGCCCTGGAGCGGCCCCAGATTGAGGCCGGCAGCACCGTGAGTGGCTGGGGCTTTCGGGCGGTGGAAGGAGCGCGGCAGAGGGACAGGTCCCCAGGGCCTGCTGAGGGACAGCATGCTGGGCTGGGAGGGTTGGAGAGCCCAGCGATGCTCTCCATGGAGAGCCATGGAGGGGGATGCCATGGAGGGGGATGCCATGGAGGGGGATGTGGCCGGGAGCTTGCCTCTGGAGAGGGGCCGCCTCCTTGGACTGTGAAGCGGCGGCGTCTCCTGGGTGCCCCTCGGCTGAAGGCAGACCAATCCCGGGAGACCCTGGATCCATGGCATCTCCTGGTTCTTTCAGGAACGCATCTTCCTCACTGTGTCCAACTACATCTTCACAGCCATCTTTGTGGGCGAGATGACACTGAAGGTACCTGGCTTCACCTGGGACCTCTCCTCCCCCTGGCCCAGCCCCGCTCCGCTTGTCACTCACCTGCCCCTCAACAGCATTCCACAGGTGGCCTTGGAGGCTAACCCCCACTTGGTCCCAGCCACTGGGTTGGGCTCCTAGGACTGGGGAAGGCGGGATGCGGTCAGCTTCGTGCCCGCTGCCCAGGAGCTCACAACCCATTTCCAGTGTCGTGGAGGTACCTGCTGGAGGTGCAGGGCACAGCGGTAGGGTTCTGTCTAGGATGCTTCCCAGAGCACATGGCTTCAGATTGGGTTAACCAGATGTGCAGGGAGAAGGGAATGGGGTGCTTCAGGGAGTAGCTCCCTGGGTAGAGGGAGACCTATAGCCCGCCTTCAGAGGGGGCGGCAGGGCACGTGTCCGCTCCAGCCCACTGCTCCCGGCTCTCCCACGCCGACCTGGCTCTGCCCCTCGCCCGTCTGATCTCGCTCCACCCTCCCGAGGAGTCTGGCTGACCCCGCCCCTCGCCCCTCCCCCAGGTGGTCTCGCTGGGCCTGTACTTCGGTGAGCAGGCGTACCTGCGCAGCAGCTGGAATGTGCTGGATGGCTTCCTTGTCTTCGTGTCAATCATCGACATTGTGGTGTCCCTGGCCTCGGCCGGGGGAGCCAAGATCCTGGGGGTCCTCCGGGTCCTGAGGCTGCTACGCACCCTGCGACCCCTGCGGTGAGGACCCTCGCACCCGAGGATGGGGGCACCCTGCACTGTCCAGGGAAGCCCCCAGGGTCTAGGTGAACCCCTCAGTCTGGCCACCCACACCCACTCAGTCCTCCATAGCCTGTGCCCAGCACCAGCTGAGCAGGGCCAGGGTCACACCTGTGGGCCCCGCTCCTGGGGGAGGAGCCTGGAGCAGGTGCTGGAAGGCGGGGCTGAAGGTGGCCCCCAGGGCTGCTACCCACTCCCTGTGTGTCCTTCGTGGCTCACTGCCATCTCTGGGCGTTAATATCTAGAGGAGGGTGTGGTGTGGATCCCAAGGGGTTGGGGTGAAAGCACAGTGCCTTGCTGTTCATGTAGATCTGGAGCCTGGGAGCCTCTGCTCTGGTGATTCTGGGCCTAGCAGGGGTTGTCTTCAGGCCTGGCTGACGGCTAACGGTACCCTTGACCCCTTCTTGCCTGCAGTGTCATCAGCCGGGCGCCTGGCCTGAAGCTGGTGGTGGAGACGCTCATCTCTTCCCTCAAGCCTATCGGCAACATCGTCCTCATCTGCTGTGCCTTCTTCATCATCTTCGGCATCCTGGGGGTGCAGGTGAGGGGCACCCGGGCTGGGCAGGGCATGGGGTGGGCTCTGCAGTCGGGGAAGAGGCTCCACACTCCTGCCCAGCTCTCCAGACCTTGTGCCAGGTGGCCCTAGGGGAGCAGCCATGGTCCCTGCCAGCAGTTAGCTCCCATTCCAGGGAGGGAGACAGACACGGCCCAAATGGCTGACTGCAAGGCAGGCTGGGTAAATGGCAGCCCAGGGGTGGGCTGGGGACAGTGGGGAAAACGCCTGAAGGAGGTGGCCTTGGCACTGGGCCTTGAAAGACAGGAGGTTTGGGCAGGTCATGGCGGGGGGAAGGTGTGTCAGGGGCAGATGGGCAACGTGCGGGGCGGCGGGACCAAGCAGGGCAGAGAGCCCCGGGGCTGCGGCTGGCATGGAGAGATGAGCCGGGCCGAGTGGGGAGAGACCTGGAACGGCAGCTAAGGAGCTGGGGCTTGGCTGCTCTGGGGTAGGGGTCATGGAGGGTCTCTGACCCAGGCAGGGCCTTGAGCTGACTCAGATTTGGGGTTGGGGCCCAGCCCGGGTGTAGAATGAGGCCTCGGGGGGGACAGCGAGTAGTGGGGCAGATAACAGAGTGTTGGCGGGTGGCAGAGTGACCTGGGCCTTCTGCGGTCTGAGCTGCTGCTGAGACCCTATTTCTTGAGGGTCTGAACCCTGTGCTGAGGCCCCCAGGCTCCCCACCTGGTCCTGTGTTTGGGGCTGTAGGTTTGGAGGAACCCCGTGCACAGGTGTCCTTTGGGGTTGCTGAGAGATTCACAGCGTGGCCTCCTGGGCAGCACGGGCTTGGTGTGGACCCTGTGTGGACAGTGGCCTTGTCCCTTCCAGGCAGTTGACATGGAGAGGGCTTGGGTCCCTAGAGAGCGTCCCTTTACGTCGCTCTGTCTCTCGGGGATGTACAGGCAACTTCCTCGCGTGGAGTCACTGCCCGAATCCCCAGTGTGGGTACTGGTGTCTGATCTCTGGGGTCTGTGGAAGAGTAAGAATCAGACAGACCAGGGTGTGAAGCTTGGCTCTGCTCCTTCTTAAACCTCAAACGACTTTGGGAAAATCTCCTGACACCACTGGGCCTCAGTTTCCTCACTCGTGAGATGGGATGCAAGCAGCCCCGCTTCCTGCTGGGGGACTTGGAGAGACGGTGGGATGGAGTGGTTGGCTCAGGCCGTACAAGGAGGAAGTGACCCCGAGGGGCGGGGCCCTCTTCTGATTTGCACTCCCCCCCCCACCCCCTGGGAGCACTGGCAAGATGGTCACTAACCCTGTGACCCGTGTCCCTGCCCCCAGCTCTTCAAGGGCAAGTTCTACCACTGTCTGGGCATAGACACCCGCAACATCACCAACCGCTCCGACTGCGTGGCCGCCAACTACCGCTGGGTCCACCACAAGTACAACTTCGACAATCTGGGCCAGGTGAGTGCCCCCTTCTGCTCTTGACCGGACCCATCCCCGGTGGCTGGGGTGATAGCTCTTTGGTGCCGACAGCCCTGGGATTACAGACCAGGCTCCAGTCCCCCCTGCCAGGGCTTCTGCTTTGCGAGCCTTGATTTCCTTTTCTGCAGAATGGGTAGGGGTAGAACTCACTTGGCAGGTAGCGTGAGGCTGAGGGACCGTGAATACAGAGTGTCCAGCAGGTGCCTGGCATTTAGGAAGTGCTTTAGTGGACATTGGTTCCTGGCCCCCACCCCCTGCCCGGGGGGGGTGCCCAGACAGGCATTTTTGGAGTCAGCCAGACCAGGTGTGAATCCTGGCTCTGCCACTTACTGTAGGTGTGGCCTCTCTGAGCCTCAGTTTCCCTGTTGGTAAAATGGGAATGTTACAGGCCACCATACAGGCTGTGGCAGAGACTAAAGTGTATCAAGCTTCTGGCCCAGGGTGGGTTTCTTCTCCCATCACCCATCTCCTCTGGTCCCTGCTCCAGCTGGCAGGCAGGCCCCTGCCCAGTTCCTGCTTTGCCCTTGGTCCCCTCTCCTGGGGGCCTTCCAGGCTCGGCCATCTGAGTTGTGTCCCAGATGAGAGCCCCCAGCTGGCTGCCTCCAAAGAGCTCCCCCCACCCCCAAACTGCTCTTGTTTCTTGAGGGCCCACCTAGGTGACTGGGTATGACCAGCCTGGGAGTGCCTTCCCCAGTTCACACAGGAAGGGAGCAAGGATCCAACTCTGGGTGGCCCAGGGCCCGGGCCTCTCTGCTGAGGACCGTCCAACTGTATCCACGGAAGCGCTCATCCCCAGGGATTCCACTCCCCGGGCCCCCTGGGAAAGGAGCTGTGGGGCCTCAGAGGGGCAGTGGGTGGCCGGGAAACGGGGTCAGGAACTGGGTCGCAGTGACCCCGCCCCTCCAGATTCTCCAGAAGTAGTACATGTTCAAGTTCTTAACAACTCAGTGGTTGGTAAGACAATGTTTTATTTTTTTAATTTAAAAGATTTTTATTTTGTTCTAAGTTTTAATTATTCATTTGGCCGCCCCACACAGTATGTGGGATCTTAGTTCCCCGACCAAGGATCGAACACGCGCCCCCTGAATTGGAAACGCGGAGTCTTAACCACTGGACTGCCAGGGAAGTCCCGAGACAATGTTTTAAAAGAGATGTTCCAGGAGCTGAGGGAAAGCCACTGGGGGCCCTTTATGATCGTGCTCCTGACTCCCTGACCTCAGTGCCAGGCCCAGGCCTGGCCGTTATAGAGCATCCTCAGCTCTTTACCGTTCTGGGCATGCTTGATGCCAGGCTGATGCCCGGGGACCCCTGAGTAGGGTGTTCTCAGCCTGCAGAGCCACGTGGGAGGTTACGGCATGGCCTGAAACCTTGGATTCCTGTGGGGCCATTTATCAGCTGTGTGTCCTCAGGCCAGTATTGACCCTCTCTGTGCTTCAGTGCCCTCATCTGTAAATCGGGATCAGTGACAGCTGGTCTGTGATTCCAAGGTCCCAGGCCGTCTGTACTTCAGGCCTCTGTGACCCAGGGGCTCACGGGGACATTTGCCCCTTGGTGTGTGAGGGCTCCGTGTGCCTCCCTGGCAGGGAGAGCTCCCTCTTTGTTCCCTGCCCTGCCCTCCTCCTGGGCCTGAGCCCTTTCTGGGCAGCCCTCAGCACCATTCCCGCCTGGAAGGGAAGAGGATGGGTCTGTGCCCTGGGTGGGCCGGAAGGAGGGGCCAGTTCAGGGCAGGAGACCTATCCTGAGGATGCTTCGGCCTGCCGTCTGTGTAGGAGCCTTGGCTGGCTGTCTCCTGGGCATCACCTCTGTTTCTAAAATCTGTTAGTTGGAGCAATTATTGCCATTTACAGGCAAAGAAGCCGGGGCCCAGAGACATTAAGTCACACAGCCAGTGAGTGGCAGAGCTTGGGCTGGTCCTGATTTCTCTCACGAGCTCCTGTTTTCAGGTGCCAGAGGCAAGCTTGGCGTGATGGTGGCAGGGTCCCACATGTTTGTCAGGAACCTTCCAGTTTAAAGTCTCCGCTGACCCTCCCAGCCAGCATGGCAGGCAGTCACTGAAGTGTTAGCGCCGTTCCGTGGGTGAGAGGAAAAGGCCTCGTGAATTTTCTTGTGCAGTTAATTTCAGAGCTGAGACTGGAGCCCAAGACCCCCGGCCCAGTCTCACTCTCTTGCAGTGCCTGCAGGGCTTATGGCAGGCCCACAGGGCACCCTCAGAAAAGGTTTGTTGGTTGAGGACACAACTCTGCCCTGGACTTGGGGAAGGTCTTGTCCCTCTGCCTCCCAGAGCTATGGAGGGGGCAGACGCAGCCCGAACTGCCCACGCCCATTGCCCCTGTACCCTTTCCTCCCGGGTTCCAGGCCCTGATGTCCCTCTTTGTGCTGGCCTCCAAGGACGGCTGGGTGAACATCATGTACAATGGACTGGACGCCGTTGCTGTGGACCAGCAGGTGGGCGTGGCTGGGCCAGGTCCGGCCCGGGCAGTCGGGGAGGGACACGGTGTCTTTGGGGCCCCGGGGTCTGAAGCTGGGGTTTCCCACTGTCAGCCACAGCCCGCCCCTCCTCGTCCTGGCCTGCACCCTGCCCCACGAGGGCCGCTCCCTGGCTGGTGTAAGTCACTGCTCTGTCTGCCTCACTCTGTGCAGGGCGAGCGCTGCGAGCTGGCCCCGCCAGGAGGGCTGCAGAGCCCATGTGTGGAGAACTGAGGGTGTGGGAGGAGGCGGCTGGCGCGGGGAAGCAGGGTGGGAAGGTCAGGAAGACCTGCGCACGCCTCGGGGGTGGAGCGTAGCTGAGCGCAGTGGGTGTCAGTGAAGGGGTTAGAGCGAGGCGAGCTTTCGGGAGCTTCCCGGGGCTGCTGGGTGAGGATGGATTTAGGAGTGGGAGGGTGGAAGGGGTCAGGGAGGAGGCTGGGCCCGAGAGGAGGCCTGAGCCCTCGCTCCCAAGATCCCCCTGAGAGTGGGGATCCCCTCTGGGGCTAGGCTGGGACTTAGGCAAGACACGCGGCTGACCAGGGTTGGCAGTGTCATGGCTGTGGGGGCCACAGGAGAAGGAGCAGGGAGATGCTCTTGGTCACGACAGGGCCCATTCAGTGAAGGAATCGGGGCTGGGGGCAGCGCCTAGGCCTGTAAGCAGGCTCGGGCTCTTGGCCTCTCGGGCCTCACCCCGTAGACTCTAGAGCTGGAGGTAGAGGTGGGACTTGGGGATGTGGGGGGAATAGAGCACGTGGAGACATCCTCCTCCACTTTTTAGTCTGTACCCTCCTGCCTGCCACCCCTACCAACACACACACACACGCAAACGCACACACACACACACGCACACACACACGCGCGTGCACACGCACACGCACACACACACAGACTCCATCAGGGTTGCGCGCTCTCCTCTGCTGGCTGCTTTGCTTCCTGCCTTGTTTCTAGATGGATGAATAAATGGGTGAATGGTTGGGTAAATGGACGGATGGTGAGTGGATGGATGGGTAGATGGAGGAATGAGTGTATGGATGGAGAAGTGGGTGGGTGGATAAATGGACGGATGATGAGTGGACGGATGAATAAGTGGATGGGGGACGGATGGATGGTGGGTGAGAGGAAGAAGACAGATGGCGGGGAAGGGGAGGGCTCTCTTTGCTGAGCACCATACTTGTGCCAAGCAGGGTGGGCACTTCCTACCTCTGCCTCCTTCAAATCTCCCAGCTGCCCAGGAGGCTGCTGCCGGTGCCCCCACCGCACGGAGGCTCGGCGAGGTGGGGCGCGCCCTGCACGGTGGGCCCCCCGGTGCCCGAGCAGCCTCCTTCAGCCCCATCTGGTCCCCGCAGCCGGTGCCCAACCACAACCCCTGGATGCTGCTCTACTTCATCTCCTTCCTGCTCATCGTCAGCTTCTTCGTGCTCAACATGTTCGTGGGCGTCGTGGTGGAGAACTTCCACAAGTGCCGGCAGCACCAGGAGGCCGAGGAGGCGCGGCGGCGCGAGGAGAAGCGGCTGCGGCGCCTGGAGAAGAAACGCCGGAGTGAGTGGGTGACGCGGGGGGCGGGGCTCAGGGGCCAAGGCTGGGGCGTGACCCCAGCCACTGGGCCTTTGCAGCCAGAAGGGAACAGAGAATATGGCCCCCAGGCCCCTGGCCTTGCCCTTCCCCCAGCATCCACCTGTCCAGGTGACCTGACTCCTCTCGGTGTCCGCCCGGAGTCTGATGGTGACCCCACTGCCCACCTGCACAAGACCCTGGCAGCTCAGTCCAGGAAGAGGGCAAGGGCAGAGCCTTGATGCCCCGCCCCCAGCAGACCGGACCCCCCCCATGGGCACGATGGGGAGAATCAGCGCCCTCTCTGCCACCTTCCCTCACGTCCTACCCCTTCCCCTCAAGGCGCCCTGGCTTGGGGGAAGAGACCTAACTCTGATTCCCAGGGCCTGGGGCAGACTGGCACCTCTCCCCCTTGCTTCCTCCTGCCCCTCCACCTCGCGCTCCGTGTGCTCTGCCTCCGCCGTGGCCCCAACCCTCTGTGGTCTGTGCCGCTCTCCCCCTGCCGCCCCACACCCCTGCAGAGGCCCAGCGGCTGCCCTACTATGCCACCTACTGTCCCACACGGCTGCTCATCCACTCCATGTGCACCAGCCACTACCTGGACATCTTCATCACCTGCATCATCTGCCTCAACGTGGTCACCATGTCCCTGGAGCACTACAACCAGCCCACGGTGAGCCTGGCCCGGCCTCTGGCCCGAGGCCACGTGGCAGGGTTGGGTCCTCAGCAAGACCCCACCCCAGGGATGGGGCGGGGCAGGGTCTGAACCGTCCCCACTGGGGGTCCTGTGCTCAGGAGGCACAGGGCCTGGTATGACAGAGGAGTGAGAGGGAGAGGTCACTCGGTCCTGGTGAGCGGGGTGGGGCGGGGGTGAGGGCAGGAGGGATGGCATTTGGACCCAGCCTTGAACATGGGTGACGGTAGCTGTGGTATATTCAGTGTGACTCTTCAGGGCACACTGCAGATATTAACTCTCTAATCCTCACAGCAATCCTAAGGTGTGCCTGGGGGAGGCTTTTGTAGATGAGGAAACCGAGGCTCAGAGAGATAAAATGTGCTCAAGTTACTCAGCCAGTGAGCGGTGGAGGCAGGACTGGAGCTTTGCTTTGCATTCAGGGCCTGCCAGCTGGCTCCACCACTACGGGGCATGTGGAGCCTGGGGGAGGGGCAGGACCGCTGGGGGCAAACACTGCGGTAGGAGAGGTGACCAGTTCCCAGCTAGTTGCAGGCGGTGTGCGTGAGGGACACATGAGGGGTACGTAGGGGCAAGTCTTCTTAAAGACTTACTGGAGTGGGGGAAGGAGGGGAGAGCAGAGCCTTCAGATGAAGAATTAGTATCTTATTTTAAATGGTAGGAGAGGAATATTATAAGTGCAGGGAAAAGGAAGGCAACCACTGGTGGAATGGAACAGTAATTGTAGAACTTCTAAATTAACATGAAGAAATAGAATAGTAATAGTTCACATTTACCAAGTATTTATTCTGTCCGGTGTTGGGCTATTACCTCATTTAATTTTTATAGCAACTTTCTGAGGGGGGTACTATTATCATCCCCAATTCATAGATCAGAAAACTAAGTCCCAGAGAGGTCAAGTGACTTGCCAAGGTTACACAATGAATAAGGAGTAAGTGCTGAGTCTGGATTCAAATCTAGGCAGTCTGGTTCTTAACCACAACCCTTAACCATTACCCCATACTGCCTCCATAGAGTGGCAATTGGACCAAGCCAGCAGAAATAAGGAAAAGAAAACAGCAATGTAAAGTAAATCGTACACATTAAGTAAGGTGGAAAGCATGAAAGTAGATATGTAAATCATTGCATTAAATGTGAATGGAATAAATTTTCCCCTTAAAAGGCAGAGATTTTCTGGCTGGAATAAGGTGGGGGACAGGTCATGGGGCCTGGATCATGCTTCTCTTTGCTGCCCCTGCAGTCTCTGGAGACAGCCCTCAAGTACTGCAACTACATGTTCACCACTGTCTTTGTGCTGGAGGCTGTGCTGAAGCTGGTGGCATTTGGTCTGAGGCGCTTCTTCAAGGACCGGTGAGCAGCTGGGCTGGGGCAGCAGAGAGTGGGCTGCAGGATGGGGAAGCAGTCCTGACCTCTGGGGAAGCCTGGAGCAGCTGGAGGAGGGGAACCAATAAGTGTCTGGCCACTGATGGCCAGGGACCCCAGGTGTGTGCTGCCTACAGCCCTGATGGGTGCAGGGCATTCTGCCAAGCCCTCCTCAGCTCATCTCTTGTGGGTCTTCCATACCCCACAGGCAGAGCAGGCCATATCTCATGCTAGTCCTTTTCAGAGGGAACACATTGGGCTCAGAGAGGTTGATGGACTAGCCCAAGGCCACACAGGGGGAGCATCTGGCTCAAGATTCAGACCTAGGAGTCAGAGCCCATTCCTCTTTCCCCGCAGAGGCCAGAGATGTTCATTTAGCCTGGTCAGCCTCTTGCTTGAGGGATCAGAGGCTGTGGGGGGCAGAGAAGGAGCTGGAACCATTGGAATCTGGAGGGGCTGTTAGGGATCCCCTTGGGCCACAGGAGGGTGGAGAGCTGGGAAGTTCCTCCCAGCTGGGGCGTATCTAACCTCGAGTGCCCCTCACCCTGCTTCTCACTCCTGACCTCCTCTGCCCGGCCGCGAAGGTGGAACCAGCTGGACCTGGCCATCGTGCTGCTGTCGGTGATGGGCATCACGCTGGAGGAGATCGAGATCAACGCGGCGCTGCCCATCAACCCCACCATCATCCGTATCATGCGGGTCCTGCGCATCGCCCGGGGTGAGGGACCCGTGGGGGAGGGCTGCGGGGCAGCACGGGCCTCCTGCTGAGCAGGGGAACAGGAGCCAGGAGGAGCCCATACTTGACACACACTCAACCAACCGTCCCGTGGGCACACACGCACCCTTGTCCTGACAGCTCTGTACTGCACCCTGCACACCCCCTCCATATAACACCCTGGTCCTTGTGGTCCAGTCTCAGGTTCGGTTGAAAGGAACCCAGTGCAGCTGGGAAGACACTGGGTCCTCACCAGCATTTCTCCAGCACTGCCTGGGACGCGCTGTCCTTGAAATCCTCTTCCTTCTCCCAGAAGCCTCCCTTTCTCCCCAAGGCTGTCCTCACACTTCTTTCAAAAGCCTCCTGCCTCAATGCTCACCCTTCCACCTGCCCTGCATGTTGCCCCCAGATTCTGAAGTGGTGAGGGGGCAGGTGGAGAAACTCAGCAGTAATACTGGGGCCCTCTCCAGCCAGAGGGAAAGGGAGAGACCCCAGGGCCACTCACGCGTCGGTCATTGTGGCCTCACTGCCCTGTTCAGCTGAACCCACGTGCTTGTAGTACGGCATCGCAGAGCTGTCGTCCTTGAGTTCACGCTCCTCCACTTTCTCACTCTCCTGCATTCACACACGAGCACATACGTGCACACGCCTGTCCCCACTGGCCCGGGCTGAGTGGGCCGGGCTGGGTGTCGCCCACAGTGCTGAAGCTGCTGAAGATGGCCACGGGGATGCGGGCCCTGCTGGACACCGTGGTGCAAGCTCTGCCCCAGGTAAGAGCTGCTCCTGTGGCCCCTCTCTGGGGCCCTGGGGCGCATGGGCCCCGACTTCCCTTCTCTCCAGAGCTGCCCGGAGCCAGGGCAGAGTCCCACCTCCAGAGAAGCAAATGTGAGCCAGGGGCTGTGAGATGGGCGGGGTCCCCTCTGCTTCTTTTTCCCTGACTCGCCAAGCGCTTGCCCACGCCTGCTGTGTACCGGACCCTGGGCTGCCGCTGAGCGCCCATGTTCTGCCCTGAGGAGTCACCAGCCTGGAGGGGAAGACAGAGGCCTCAGGGCGGTGTGGGGAGAGGCCCTCACACTGGGGAATCAGGGAAGGCGTCAGGGCACTTTGAGCTTGACCTTGTAAGGTGGCTTGGTAGGAGAGGTGGTGATGTGGATGGAGAGGTGACAGATATGACATTCTAGGAGGGGACAGCATGCAACCCTGACCTGGGTGAGAACCCTGGGAAGTTAGGAAAGCCCCCCACATTGGTGACCGGAGGGGAGATGGGTCAGGGCCACAGAGGGTGCATCTTTCATCCTCCTCGGAATTCTGCAGTCCCAGCTCCCCCTCCCCTCAGTGTGGTCTCACCTCACTCTGAGGTGAACCTCATATGCATTCATTTATTCATTATGACTCACCTAGTCTTAAGGAACTTTAAGTGTCTTAAAGTAAAAGGCACGGATACAGCATGCTAAAAATGAGGATAAAGGATTAACAGCCCAGGGCAGGTGAAAGCAAAGCTAACCCTCTCAGGAACCTGGGCTAGGGATGTTAATGAGTTCCGTTCTTGAGTTTGGTGTGAGCTTCCCAGCAGCCTAGCTGCAAAGGGAAAGTGACACGGCTTACAGCAGGTCTGGGTGGAAAGCAAGGGCCTTCGTTCAGAGAGCTGTGGTCTTTCCTAACATGAAATCCCTTCAGAGGAATTTGTCTCATGGGAGATGGGGGGTGAGTGCTGGGCTGGGGGGTTAGGGTGTAGACAGGAAGTGGGTTGGAGCCCAGACTCAAGCCCTTTTGACCTGTGGTCAAAGCCTCATCCCCGGTGAGAGCCTGGGTGTGTGACTCAATCTCTCGTGCCTTGGTTTTCTTGCCTGTGAAATGGGGGATGGTATCAGCGCTGACCTCAAAGGCGTGTTGTGAGGTTTAAAATGGTTAAAGCTTAAAAAGCCCTGAACGGTGCCTGGATCACAGGAAGTGCCAGGTAAGCATCTGCTAAGGATGGAAACGGGGGTGGCGAGTGTGCCCCCAGCCTGCCTGGCCTCCTTGCCCCTTCCCCTACCCCTTTCCCCTTGTTCTGACCCCTGGCCATGCTAGGGTGGCTCCCAGGCCAGCACTGAGTTGGCATAGGGCACGTGGAGATGCCTAGGAGGTCCCAGCCTCGAGTAGGAGACACGTGACAGTGATTATACTTTAAGAGATGCGTGTGCCAAGAACCATGCGGTATTGGGGTGAGGGGCTTACCCCTCAGCATCTGCTAGCTGACCCTGGACATTTTCTGGGTTCTGTGTAAAGTGATATGAAAATGAAACTTCAGCCCCATCCTTCCAGGCTTTGCCTCAGGCACTCAGAGGCAGGAGGCATCAGGGAAGGCTTCTCAGAGGAGGTGACCCATGATCTGGGTATTGGGGGTGGGGAGGAGGCATTTAACAGGCAAAGACAGAGAGAGGGTCTTCCCTGCAGAGGAAACAGAATATGCAAATGGGGTCTGTTTTCTGTGTGGTTGGAGTCGGGGTGGAGAATCAGGCTGGGAGGGGGTCCGCAGGGCTGGATCACACAGGCCTTAGATGTCAAGACAGCAGGCCTGGGCTTTGTCCCGTGGGCAATGAGAGCCACGGGAGGGTCTGGATAAGGGAGGCCTCAAGCAGAGCTGCCTTTAAGAAGGTTGCTCTGGTGACCGTGAGGAGAATGGATTGAGGGAGAGGCTGGAGGGAGGGAGGCCGTTGAGGAGGCTGCTGTAGCCGTGCAGACTCGGAGATGCTGAGGGCAGGGAAGAGGGGGAGCTGGTAGGCAAGGTGAGGTTGAAGAAATGCTGACCTGGGCCCGCACAGGGTGGGAAGCTGCGCTGAGGCTCAGGCCCTGCCGGATTCCTTCCGGCAGTCGGGGCCTCACATCTGGCGTCAGAGGTACTCAATGAGTGCTTGTTTCATTAATGAATGAGAATCATTTAATTAGACACTGTTGGTGTGATTGTAGCACAGATTGGAAGGAAACCCTTGTCTGCAGCAGAGAAGCATTAAGAGTCTGTGATTAACGTGGTTTATTTTTCAGCAATTAACGCAGACATCCTCGGGTTCTATTCACGCGGGTCTTCTGAGGGTTCTTAGAGATACTTCATTTCTAGGGCAGGAACGTTTTTGACCCTTATCTCATCCATAACACGAATTAAAGGCGGTCTCTGGACTATGGATAGATTTGAAATAGGTTTGGAATCTGCGATGTTTTTCTCCCACAGGAGCTGTGGGATGGGGGTGGCTGTGTTTGCAGGAGGCTTCTGGGGCCCCCAGTCTTGCATGATTCCTATGTTCACTCCGCTCTGTGGCCGGGGCCCATGCTGGCCTGAGGAAGCAGATCCGAATTAATCCAGCCATGTCTCTGCTCTCAAGGACTTCCCAGACTGGCAGAGACAGTGACAGGGACACACCAGTTACTCTCATGCTGTCAGACTGCATCCTGGTCTGCCTGAAGGAATCCAGGCAGGCTTCGTGGAGGAGGTGGCATTATTGCTGCACCTTCCTTTCCTCTCTCTCTCCATTCATCTGTGGGATGGTACTAACCACACACAGGTGTAGCGACTGTGTGCATGGACCCTGGGGCCAGCCTGCTGGGCTTGATCCCAGTCCTACCACTTATTAGCGATGTGGCCTGGGCAAGTACTTCACCTCTCAGTACATCTGTTTCTTCACCTGAAGAATGGGGGTAAAAGAGAGTTCATAGATCCCTGTGTGCAGTAATGAACGTCGAGTGCTTGAAACTGGGCCTCTCACAGCAAAGGCTCCACACGTGTTTTATTATTGTCCTGTGCTCTGTGCCGGACCTGGCCTGCCCTCCAGGAGGTCGTGCAGGGGTGGCAGACACAGACACAGAGCCTGGTGAAATGTTACAGCTGCCCCGACCCTCAGGCTGGTCCTTTGCCTGGAGCCTGCCACCCGCCACCTCCCCAGGCCCTGCCCAGTCCCACCTGCTGTCCCCACAGGTGGGCAACCTGGGCCTCCTCTTCATGCTGCTCTTCTTCATCTACGCTGCCCTGGGAGTGGAGCTCTTCGGGAAGCTGGGTGCGTGACGCCTGAAGCAGGCCTGGGCTTGGGGGCTTCGTGGAACAGGTCTGGTGGAGGGCCTCGGCAGGGGTGGGGAGGCCTGAGACACAGTCCCCCACCAGACTGTCCCGTCAAGGTCTTTGTATTGGGGAGATGCCCCCAGAGCAGGCCTGGGGCGGGGGATGGATGGGCGACCCTCAGCCATCCACGTGCCCCTCTCAGTGTGAATAGCAGCTTTTGAGAGACGCTAGCCTGGGTCCGCAGGCACACCCAGGCCTGTACAGCGGACCGCCGACTTGGGGCCCCCCAACTGTCTGGCCTCTCAGGGATGCCTCTTCCGGCTTCACCTGCCGGTGCCCATCCAGAGCTAGTGCCGCCCCAGCAGGCAGAGTGGCCAGGGCACAGACCAAGGGCAACACAGCCCACATCCAGCCCAGCCCTGCACAGGGCTGGCTCCAGAAAGTGGGGCTCCCTTGGGCATTGGCCCTTACCCACCCCATCGTCTCTCTCAGGAATTGATACCTGGGTGGAGGGAGGAGCCAGGCTCACCGGAATTTGAGTCCCAGCTTGTGTGGCACCTCCTTGAGCCTCAGTTTCTCCATCTGTGGGCTGGGCACAGTCCGCACGCACCTCTGAGGTTGTCGTGGGATTCTGAGATGAGGCCGAGAGGCAGCAGTGCAGGGCGGCCCGGGCTGACCCCACTCTCCTTCCAGTCTGCAATGACGAGAACCCGTGTGAGGGCATGAGCCGGCACGCCACCTTTGAGAACTTCGGCATGGCCTTCCTCACGCTCTTCCAGGTCTCCACTGGCGACAACTGGAACGGGATCATGAAGGTACACGTGGGTGGGCTGGGGAGGGAGAGTTGGGCTGGGTTCCGGGTCCTGACAGCCAGGGCTCCCGGGCCCTCTGCCTGCCCAGCGGGAGGGGGGTGCAGGGCACAGAGAAGCAGAGGGACCTGCCCAGGACCCTGAAGCACAGTGAGGTGGAGATAAGGCCAGGGTCTCTGTCTGCCCCTAAGTGCTGCTCTGGGGTCAGTGCTCAGATTCTAGGGGACAGGACTCTGCCCAGGGCCAGAGGGTCCTGGGGGCCCACGGCCAGGGCCAGGGGCTCCGGGCACCACTCCTCCGGGTGCCAGGCACTCGGCGTTGGCCTCACTGCCCATCACCCAGCGCAGGCTCCTCGGCCCTGGCCCGCGGTCTGGCCTGGACTGGGTGGGGAGGGGCTTGTGAGGACGGAGATGAGGCCTGCGCCTGGAGGCCCCCGGGCCTCACCACTGCCTCCCTGCCCCGCCGGGTGCAGGACACCCTGCGGGACTGCACCCATGACGAGCGCAGCTGCCTGAGCAGCCTGCAGTTCGTGTCGCCGCTGTACTTCGTCAGCTTCGTGCTCACGGCCCAGTTCGTGCTCATCAACGTGGTGGTGGCCGTGCTCATGAAGCACCTGGACGACAGCAACAAGGAGGCCCAGGAGGACGCCGAGATGGATGCTGAGCTGGAGCTGGAGATTGCCCACGGCCTGGGCCCCGGCCCGCGGCCACCTGCCGGCTCCCCGGGGGCACACGTGCCTGGCCGCGGGCCAGGAGGGGCGGGTAGCGCGGGCGACGCCGAGGGCCACCTGATCCGAAACTGCTATTCGCCAGCCCAGGTGGGCGGGGCCCGGAGAGGGCAGCGGGGTCGCAGAGGGCTGGGAGGGCAGCTGGGCGGGGGCCTTGGGCAGAAAGCTCTGTCGTTTCGGGCCCCACTTGCTCGGCTCCACTGAAGGGGCGACCCTGTGATGAGGGGTCGGGCCCAGGCCACGGGCAGAGAACCAGGAGGGCAGCTGTGCCCACCCGCCCCGCCATCCCGACCCGGCCGATAATCCCGCCTGTCCCCACCCCGTCCCCGTCCGCCTAGGAGAACCTGTGGCTGGACAGCGTCTCTTTAATCATCAAGGACTCCTTGGAGGGGGAGCTGACCATCATCGACAACCTGTCCGGCTCCATCTTCCACCACTACTCCTCCCCGGCCAGCTGCAAGAAGTGTCACCATGACAAGCAGGAGGTAGTGGCAGCCCCGGAGGGAGCTGGGGCCTCGGGGTGGGGGGCCAGCCGGAGGGGAGAGCGGCTCTGGGCCGGAGGCCTGGCTGGGCCGACTTGGCCGATGCTGCCTGGGGGCTGTGGCAGACCTGCCTCCCCGAGCCCGGGCTGGCCTGTCCGTCCGCTCAGTGCAGGCCTGTGGCGTGGCCTCAGGAGCCTCAAGGCCCCTCTCTGTGTCTGTACACAGTGGGTGCTCAGAAAGGGCCCACCTTGGTGGTGGGCTGCTGGGGCCAGCAGGAAGCCCGTGTGTCACCTCTGGTGCAGTTTGCCTTTTCTGTGACAAACTCCAGGTGGAGTTTCCCGGATGGGCATCCCAGGGCATCCAGTGGCCTTGGGCCTGTCTTGTGCAGGCTCAGGTGGGCCCTCTCCCCTCTCCCCAGTGGGGCCCTGAGCTCGTCCCCAGGGGTGTTCCAGCCCCTGGGAACCCCCCTAACCTGAAGTGGCTTCAAATTCCCCAGGGTCCTCCGGGCTTGCAAACACCTCTGCGCGTGCGGGTAGCCTGCACAGGGCCACGGGTGAGTTAGACCCAGCCAGCCTCGAGTGGCACTTGGCCTGGGGGCAAGCAGACCAGCTTTGGTTCACAGCTGACGGCAGCTCACCTGCCCTCCAGCCCAGCCCAGGCGTGGCACTCTGCTGGCTGTGACACCCTCGTGTCATCTCCCACCCCCTGCCCAGGCTGGGTTCCTGCACAAGGTGGACATGCTGTCTGTGCTCAGATCTCTGGTCCTCTCTGACCACTGCCCTGCATCTTTCTGGAGGACCGGACTGCCCCATCCCAGCCCCAGGGGGGACCCGACGCTGCCGCCTCTCCCTGCAGGTGCAGCTGGCCGAGACAGAGGCCTTCTCCCTGAACTCAGACAGGTCCTCGTCCATCCTGCTTGGCGATGACCTGAGTCTGGAGGACCCCGCAGCCTGCCCACCTGGCCCCAGAGACAGCAAGGTGAGCGCCCAGTGGGCTCCTGGGCAGGCGGATCTGTCCTTGAGCCTGGCCTCTGCCTGCTGTGCCGGAACACTGTTCCTTCCTGGCTCACCACTTAAGTGGCACCCACTGTGTGCTGGGCCCTCATCTCCTGTTGATCAGATGAGGGCTGCGAACAGAGAGGCGGAGTGATTTACCTGAAGCCACACAGCAACGAGGCCAGCCAGGGCTCCAATCACAGCATCCAAGTGGCCTTGGCCACTCACTGTAGCTTGAATGTTTTTGATCCATTTAATGGGAGTTGTCCCTGGCGGGCCAAACTTACAAGGGGGCCTTAAGGCTGAAGAGTTGAAACAGGCGCAAGCACCTACTGTGCGCCAGACTTTACTTGTACTCAGTGTGTCCATTCCCCAGCTCTGTGTGGCAGGGATAATGTGGCTCCATTTCACATGTGAGGACATGAGAGCTCTGAGAAGTGAGTTAGCTTGTCCTGTCACACAGCCGGGCAAGGCAGAGCAGGGAAGCCAGCCCTGGGTCTGGTCCCCAACCTCAGCCCTAGAGACGGTCAGTCTGAGGAGGTCAGGAGGGCTGGAAGGGCCACTATGTTGATCCTGCGGACTCAGGCAGGGGAGGTGTGCCACCTGGCTTGTGACCTCAAGGCCAAGTCGTTCTTGCCCCAGCTCAGGGATGAGAGCGGGAGCCCCTGGCCTGAGGTTGGGGTGCAGTGGCCCTGCCCTAAGAGAGCCTCGGTCCCCCTGACCCCTGACTCCTGGGCAGCCTGGGTTTGGCACCACTGCCCCCCAGGGCTGTCCTCCATCAGCTCCAGGAAGGCTGGGATGGGGGGAGTGGATCTTCCCAGCCCCTCCCTGCCCCCCGCCCCCTCCCTGATAGCTGACAGCTCCTACAGCTCCTCCCTGTATCTCCTGCACCCCTGCACTGTTTTCCACACAGGATGTTGGGGTGCACAGTTTCTAGGGCCTCGTTGGGCTTAGATGGGTGCTGTTTTATTAGGACTCAAAGGACAGTTCGTAGGGGCTCATCTGCCTTGGAGGGGACATTGAGGCAGCTTTTGAGGAGCTTACTGTGCAGAGGTCACCTTGGGCTGCAGGGTTGAGAAGCGTTAGGGCCCAGGGAGTGCCAGGAAGGAAGGCTGGAAGCTTCTGGGTGCCAGGCCCCAGAAGGAGGGGTTACTCTCTCGTTTATGGCTGTTAAGAATGGAGACTCAGCCACAGGAAGGGACCTGCCCAGGGTCATGCTCACAGGGAGGCCCTGCAGCCGCTTGGCCAGGCTTCTGGTGCCTTCACCCGCCTAGACTTGGCTCTTTTACTGACCAGGGTCTGAACTAGGCACTTGGCTACAGAGACAAGGAAGACCCTCAAGGATCTCAGAGTCATGAGGGGAGTGAGTGGGAAACTGCTACCTGCCTGGGACATCAGAGAGGGCTTCCTGGAGGCGGGGCCCTTTCACCCAGGCTTTGGAAGATGATGATTGCTGGCCAGGTAGCCGAGGCGAGAAGGCCATCCCAGGCAGTGAGAGCGACCAAGCAAAGGGCTGAAGAGCAAGGGCATGAAAGCAGCTGTGGCAGGCTGTCCCCCCTCCACCATCCTGCCCCTTTCACCTCCCTTTTCCTGTAGGGTGAGCCGGACCCGCCTGAGCCGATGCGGGTAGGGGACCTGGGTGAATGCTTCTTCCCCTTATCCAACACGGCTGTCTCGTCGGATCCGGAGAACTTCCTGTGTGAGATGGAGTCGATCCCATTCAACCCCGTCCGGTCCTGGCTGAAACACGAGAGCAACCAAGGTGAGGGGTGGGAGCCCCGTCAGCTCCCCACAGCCCTGATCTCGGGTGTTGGCTTCAGAGGGGGCGGGCTGAGTTTTTTCCTTGGTGTTTTTGCCTAGACTATTATATTGAGTCCAGAAAGAACCAAATGGATAACTGATAATAAAATATAGGAATCTCAGGCCTGATAGAAATGAGATCATAATTATACCAGAAGTCTAGGCTAGTGGAAGATTCATGCTGAGTGTCCTAGGAGCTGTGGTGAAAGAGGAAACACGTTGGCACACAGAGCTCGTCAAGCAGAATGAAAACTGCCTAATTATTGAAGGGTTTTTCTAGAGCTGATTCGAGAGGTGTTTATCCCACAGATCGTCACACAAGGTGACGCTGAACAACAGAAAGCCTGTTGTCCTCAACAGCCCTTTCGTACAAAGCCCCACCCTCAGCATCCTCTGTTTGCGCTTTGGGCTTGTGGCTGGGTTCTGGGCGGGAGGACGGAGGACTCAGTTGACTGGTCCATCACGGACTTATCTTCACTTCCAGTCCCGTTGGAGGGTGATGGGATCTGGCTTCACAGCACTGGCTGGGGAAGGGGGCAGAGGGGTGAGCTCAGCAGAAGAGGGGCCCCCAGATCCTGAGCTCACCCCAAGTGCTATTCTGGGAGGCCTGGCCCTGAGCGCTTTCCAGGAGCTGGGGGTGGAGTGACTTCCGAGGACCTTCCCTAAAGCTGACGGCCTCTGGACTGGACCTGATGGCTGAGGGGCCAAGATCCCAGACTTCCTGAACCAAAAGTTGGGGCACAGGACCCAAGAGCCTTTCTGATCCAACGAAATCCCATCTTCTTTACCTAACCGTTCATTAGCATTTTTCTTACATAATAAGACATAGATTAGGAATCCCCCTACCTGGGGACACTCAGGCTTCCATCTTCATCCTGGAAGGCACTGAGGGGACCGTGGACAGAGGTTGCCCCCGAAGACCGGCCCCAGCTCTCATTTCCCCCTCGCCCTCTCCTTGCCCCTCTCCATCCCCAGCACTGTCTGCTCTGCCATCCTGCCTGCTGTCCTAGGGGGGCCCCCAGGCCTGGCCAGACCTCCTGGGTGTCAGGACCTGGGGGGGTGACTGTCACAGTGAGCAGTGCTGTGCACGGGGCTGGGAGCTCCACAGCTGCCTCTTGCTCTTATAGCCTTCTCTCCACTCCTCGAGGTGGGCAGCTGGTCCCCATTTCACAGAGGAAGGAACCCAGAGGGCCTTGAGCCTGGGTCTGCCTGGCTCCAGAAACTGTGCCTTTGCCAAGTGCCCATCCTCCCAGGACTCACACGGGCAGTCTCGGTGTTCCTCTCTTGCTTTCACAAAGGGGACACCGAGGCTCAGAGAGGGAGCCCGCGGTCTCACATACAGTTTGTTAGGTGGCCCTTTCCTGCCAACCCCCCTCAGGGGCCTGAGCCTGCTCCCCAGCTCCCTCTTCTCCCTCCCCAGCAGCGCCCCCGAGCCCCTTCTCCCCGGATGCCTCCAACGCACTCCTGCCCATGCCGGCCGAGTTCTTCCACCCTGCTGTGGCCGCCAGCCAGAAAGGACAGGAGAAGGCCGCTGGTGCCGGGACCCTCCCCAAGATTGCCCTGCAGGGCTCCTGGGCGTCCCTGCGGTTGCCAAGCGTCAACTGCACCCTCCGCCAGCAGGTATGGCACTCCCAGCTCTGAGAGCTCTCCTGTCCGGGGACATCTGAGGGGGCCTTAAGTCCAAGGTGGAGGAGTAGGGGGTGGGCCCAGCCGAAGGCACAGGGCACGGCAGTGCTGGGGGCACTTGGGAAAGTGAGGGGGTAGTGCTGAGACTTGAGGGAGGAGGTGGCCCTAGAGGCTGATAAAATGGGCAGAGCCGGGTCCCAGGGCATCTGGGGACAGAAGGGGGGGGGCAGGCCCGGAGGTGGGGGGGGCGGGGCCCTGAAGGATGGTCATGGGGTGTAGCTTGAGGGGATGGGGAGGAGGGGGCGTTGGGAGGCTTTGCAGGGGGTGGTGGAGCTCTGAGGGGGTTGGGGTGTGATTACTAGGAATGGAGATGGGGGGGCAGGTCTGGGCGATGGCAGGTCTTGGTCTGCAGGGCCACCTGTATTGGATTGGTCAGGGCCACCACCTGGGCACCCACAGGGCCCAGAGCACAGAGCAGAAGGGTCTGCGGACGTGACATCCCTCTTCTGTGGGCGGGTGCTGGGGGAAGGGACCAGGTCCCCGGGAGAGGTACCCTGCGGCGGAGGGAGGGCGGGGCCCAGGGCCCCGGCAGGTAGTCATTTGCTCACTCGGTGACTGCTGACCCCAGCTGCGCGCCTGGCTGTGTGCTAGGCTTGCAGCAGGCTACAGCGGGCGGCACGATGACAGAGTCCCTGCCTCCTGGGTTTTACAGTTTAGTGTTTAGTGCGTTGCAGGGATGTGAGAGGAGAGAAGATACACCAAAAGAAATGCATGGAAAGTACAGTCTGTTTGATAGTGATACGGGCCAGGGAGAACGCTGCACAGGGAAGGGGGCTGTGCGGGGAGCCGGGGCGTGGAGGGGCTGGGAAGGCTGTGAGGGGTAAAGCGGGTGGGTATCAGCCGGGAAGAACTTTCCAGGCGGCAGCCAGAGCAGAGGTGCGGGTGGGGGTAGGGCAGTGGGGTGGGGCCGGGAGGATCCCGGTGAGCAAGGGGGAGGGTGGTGGGAAGTGAGGTCCCAGAGGGGTGGGGTGGGGCCCAAGGGCTTTTACCCCCTGTGAGCCCGGAGCCTACGCCACCCGCGGGGGGGCCAGGGTCTGATGGGGTCCGAGAAGGATGACGCCGACTGTCCCCCGAGGGTCGGGGAGTGGGGTGGGGCAGGGGGCCGGGTCGGAGGGCCACCCAGGAGCTCAAGACAGGTGGTGGTTGGGCGAAGGGGAAGCCTGGGATGCCGCGTGTGATCCGAGGGAGTTCCTGAGGGCTTGGAAGGAGGGCTGGGCGTGCCCGCGTGTCACCGGGAGGGGCGGGCTGCGGGACACCGGGCGGCCCCCCATCCCCTGTGACCTCCCCGCAGGCCACGGGGAGCAACACGTCGCTGGAGGGCAGCCGCAGCAGCTCGGCGGGCAGCCTGCAGACCACGCTGGAGGACAGCCTGACCCTGAGCGACAGCCCGCGACGCGCCCTGGGGCCGCCCGCGCCCGCCCCGGGGCTCCGCGCCGGCCCGTCGCCAGCCGCCCGCCGTCGCCCGAGCCTGCGGGGCCGGGGCCAGTTCAGCCTGAGCGGGCTGCGGGCGCATCAGCGCAGCCACAGCAGCGGGGGCTCCACCAGCCCGGGCTGCACCCAGCACGACTCCATGGACCCGTCGGACGAGGAGGGCGCGGGCGGCCGGGCCGGCGGGCGCGCGGGCAGCGAGCACTCGGAGACGCTCAGCAGCCTTTCGCTCACCTCCCTCTTCGGGCCGCCGCCCCCGCCGCCCGGCCTCCCGCCCGCGCGCAGGTTCAGCAGTACCAGCAGCCTGGCCGCCGGCCCCGGCCATCCCCGCGCCGCCGCCCGGCCCCAAGGCCTGGCCCGCAGCCCCTCCTGGGCCGCCGATCGCCGCAAGGACCCGCCGTGCCAGGCCGATCCGGCCGCCGCCCGGGGCCCCTGGGCGCCCGAGCCGCAGCCGCCGCCGGGGGAGCCACAGCCCGGGGACGCCGCGAACCAGGGCAGGAGATGAGGGCCGCCGCCCTCCCGCCCCGTCTCACCTTCTTTACCTCAGGAGCCAGGGGCAGACAGCAATACTTCGTCCGCGACCTGGCCGCCGCGCCGAGCCGCCGGGGCTGGGGGAGGAGCAGGGTCCGGGCTGCCGAGGCTCAGATGGGCTCAGCGTGGTCCTGCCCGTGCATATACGTGTATACATATGCATATACATAGAGACAGACATATATATTTATTTATTTTTTCTACTGAGAGCTTATGACTTCCAGAAAGTGCTGAAGGTGGGGAGTGCGGGTCCGGGCCCAGACGGGGCTTTCGCCTGACGTTTGGGGCCCAGGCCAGACCCACTCCAGGGCAGAAGGTCCTGCCGGGGCGTCGGCAGCCGTGATTTCTGGCGTCTCCCCTGGGCCGAGAGTAGCTGGGAGAGGGCTCTCAGGCCCCCGAGGGTCCCGTGGCCAGGAAGACAGGCCCAGAAGAAGAGGTGGGATTCAGGGTGCATTTTTTTCCTTTAAAGAAGAAACGCTGCTAAGATCCCGCCCGTCCACGTGTTGGGGTGTCTGTCTTGTTCCCGAGCGTCTAGTTGTTGTGACAGTCTTTTATAGATGCCCCAGAGCACACAAACTCTCTTAGTCAACCAGTTAGGTGTCTTTCTTCAGAAAAACCAGGGGCGAGTAGTCGTATTTTTTTAGGGCAGGGGTGGGGGGAAGGGCGTCTCCAAGGCTGGGCAGGGGCCTCTGCCTCAGGTGAGGTCCTTGGCCCGGGTGGCTTTGCCCCAAGGAGGCTGAGGGCAGCGAGGCTGCAGGAGGGAGAGGAAAGGTGGAGGCATTAAGCAGATGAGATGCTTGAAGGTCAAGGGAACCCGCCTGGTGTGTGCTGGTCGGGCTGCCCCTGGGGCTCCTGGGCTCGGGCAGTCAGTGGCTGGTTACTTATTGCCTTTTATCCCCCAGGTGGTCCCTGAGCCACGGCCATTCCAGGAGGTTGTACCGCCCCCTCCCCTCACAACCCCCTGTCCCCTGAGCTGCTCTGCCGCCCCTCTCCCCACCCTCCATGGAGTTCAGGGTGAAGCAGATCTGACAGGATTCTAGGCAGGGGTGACGCCCAGCCTGACACCTGGAGACCACATCCCCCCCCCTCCCGCTGCTCGTCTCTGGGTCTCTGTCTCATACCCATCACCCCCACTTCCCCAAAGCTGCAGTGCTTCCCAAATGGGTCACGGACGGGTATTTTTTTATTTGACTAGTTATGCATTTATTTTAGTATTTATTAGAAAAAAAACAGTACACTGACCCCATGATTTCACAGACATATTGCTGAGGTCAAGGCTAGTTTCTGAGCAGTGAACGGACTTGAAGTCAGTCTGAAGAAGGTTGGGAAGTGGTGGTGGAATGGTCTGCGGACACGCAGGGGTCATGGGGTGGGAAAGGCTGCAAGTTGGGACCCACTGTGCTTCAGGAATAACCAGGCCCTTTGCCTGTGTGAGATCGTCTCAGTGGCTTCAGCTGGGCCCCGCTGAGGAGCCCTTGACCTTGTTCCCAAACCCTGACCTTAAAGAGTCTGGCTTTGGGCTGGGCTGCAAGCTGTGGGGAGGGTCTGCTTGACGGGCTCTGGGTGTCTTCTGGGCAGCGTAGGGCCCCCTGGGGCCTGGGCATCGTGCACAGGGAGAGGGCAATGTGGTCTGCAAAGCCGTTCCCCCAGAGCTGCTGGGGGGAAGGGTTGCCAGGCCCACTTTACACCTGAGGAAACCAAGGCCCAGGGAGGTGAGGGGGCCACCCCAGGATCCCCCGGGGCCTCGGGCACCTGAGTACCTGGAACGTGCAACAGTGACCCTGAGTTTCAGAGCAGGTGGATCAGAAGCCATAGGCTGGCCGCGGGCCTCTTGCAGGGGGGGCGCGGTGAGACCTGGCTTTGCCCCTGAGCCTCTGGAGCGCCCCCTCCTCGCCCAGAAGGGCGTGGTGGGCAGTCCTCTTCGAGGGGTCGCTATGAGGACACAAGGCGATGCCCAGACGCTGTGCTCCCTCCCAGGATGGGAGCCTACAGGGTGGGAGGCTGGCTGGGCCTGGGGTCGCGTCCCCTCCCGCCCCCAGTGGCCTGTTGGCTGGTGAGGGAGGCCGGGCCCGAGTCCCAAGCCGCCTGCCTGCCCCAGAGAGCCTTGCGCTGGCTGCCTTTGCCACGCCCATGGCTTCATCACGGGGTGGGGCGCTCGCTCCTCTGGGGAAGAGGAGGGCTCGGGCAGCCTGCCCGGCTCTGCCTCGCCCTCCCTCCCAGCGCCATGCTGGCCCCAGCCATCGAGGCGGAGGGGAGGCCACGCACACAGTGGCTGCGCACGGCAGCGTGTTCCTGGAGGGACGTGTGTGCGGGGGGCCGGAAGGTGGCCAGTGGGACCTGAGAGGACCGTGTGGAGGGTGGGTTGGCGTCCAAGGGGATGGCACGTGACACTGGTCAGCAGCTTCCGTCTTCTGGGCTCAGGTGTCATCCTGTTTACTCTGCACGGTGGCCCTGAGCCGTGTGCACTGCTGCTCCATGCACAGACCAGGGAAGTGACTTTCTTGGTGACTTTCTTGGTGTCACCGGGTTATAAGTGGCTGGGCAGGGAACACATCCCGGGCGAGTCTGACACAGAGCCATCCTTTTACCCTGAACTGAGTGACCCCAGAACCAGCAGACGCGTGGGAAGAGTGACCCAGGCATCGCCTGAGCGGTGGTGTGAGGGCTGGACAGAGCAGGGTGTGTCTGGAGGTGGGCATAGCTGTACTCGAAGCATAGAAGTTTTGCCTGAGGGACTTGTGGGAGATGGGGCTGGCTCCTGGAGGGTCCCAAATGCTGACCCCAGGCACTTGGCCTTTTTCCTGGGAGCTACAGGCGATGGGGGACCAGGGAAGCTGTGATTGGCCAGGAAAAACCCAAATGGCTAAGGGTTGGGTGAATAGCCCCTCGGCCCTCCCTGATCCTGTGGCCTGTCCATCACAAAAGCACAAACCTACCCTAACCCACATGGCCTGGCCCTGCGGAGAGTGAGGACCCTGGTGCTGGACACCCCAAGCTGTCTGTTTGCAGGCTTCTGCAGTGTGGTGGCTGGTGGGCCCCTCAACACCTGTACAAAGGGACCCAAGACCAGATGGGGCATAGTCTACCCAGCCAAACCCTTTTCCTGTCCCCTGCCGGGCCTCCTCCTGCACCAGGCAGCCCCCTAAAAGTGGACGAAGTGTGCACAGTACCAGCCTGTCTGCCTGTCTTCCCCCCAAATCTTCCCACTGGAGCTTTCTGTTTCCAGGGCCACCTCTGGCCCCCTTTGCTGCGCTGTGTAAGGGCTTGGGTTCTTAGAAGCCGCTGTTTAGCCCAGGTACACATACTCTTTTTGTCTCTGCGCAATAATCAGTGTTCCTGGCAGAGTCCGGGCCGTGCTGGGGTTTAGGGAGGAGACAGAGGCCACCTCCTCCTGGAAGCCCTCGACCCAGCCCTGCTGCTGTGACTATCGCACTCCCAGTCGCTGTACAGTTTCTATGGTGTGAATAAACTTCCCTCCTAGTTGCTGATGGCGCTGGTACCTGCTGGCCCAGATGGCCCGGGATAGAGAAACCAAGCGGCAGCCACCACCAGTGCTGTTTTGAATAAAACCCAGAAGCTTATTTCAGAATTTCTCCGTTTGTCTGTGCTGTTCTTTCCCCAGTGGGGCGGGTGTAGAGTTGGGGGGCTTCCCAGTGGGTGGGGTGATGATGTGTTCATCATGCCCAGGCTGTGGGGCCTGGGGTGTCTGGGACTTAGAGACACCCATGAAAGTGTCCTCTCATGGCCGGGGTAAGGGTTGGTGACTTGCTGGGCTGGGGAGGAAGCAGGGCCTGGCTCTCGCACTCTGGTTCTGTAGCTAAGATGCTGGACCTGGGTGAGAGGGTCACAGAGAGTAATAGTCTACTCACCTGGCACTGTTGCCTGAAATCATACGATGGGTACTTTCAGGACTGTTTAGGCTGCAAAGGACAAAAACCTGACTCAAATGAAACTGAGAATAAAAAAAAGAAAGAGCCAGAAGAGAGGAAAGGAAGGGAGGGTGGAAAGTGAGAAACAAGAAGGAAGTAACTTAGAGACTCAAGTAGCTAAAAAGTCCAGAGGCGGCGTTGCCTTCAGGTGCAGTCGGATCAAGAGCTCCAGCTGTGTCGCAAGGATGGAGCCTCTCCGCCTCTCGGTTCTGCTCCCCTCCTCCCCTAGTGGCCACCAGCAGCCTTGGCTTTGGGCCTGTCTGCCTATCCCCAGATGAAAGACAGCTCCTCTCCCTGACAGTCTGGCAAAGTTCATGGAATCTCATAGGCTGACCGGGGTACGTGCCAGGCTCTGATTGACCTGGTCTGAACTCCGGGATTCAGGGATGGGGGCGACCTACCTGCCTCGCGGCCTGAGAGCAGGGTAGGGAGGAGCTGTCAAGGAGTACCGCTGTGCGCTTGTTGGAAGGAGTGGATGAGGGCTGGGCAGGCAGCCAAACCTCGCCTCGGGCTAAGCTCCCTGCAGCTTCGTCCCTGGGAAGAGCGCTCTCACTGCCGCCCTTCAGATGAGGCCAGGGGCCCAGAGAGGTCCAGAGGCTGGTCACCTGGACGTCAACAAGCTGTGGGAGCAGAAGAGCCAAGTTGGTGGCTAGAGGGCCTGCCTGGTCCCCACCAGCCTTTGCTGGGCCTCCCATCCCCCCAGCGTGCGCTGTCTTTCCTCAGGGGCTGACCGGGGTCTCGGCATGGCCAAGGGAGGGACACAGCGATGTCGCGTGTGACCTCCAACACTACACCTCCCTCTCTGAGGCCCCACCCACTCTGGAGAACAAGGTGAGCTGAGGTCACCGCACAGACAGGCCTGTAACCCTGGCCCTGCGTGATTCTGTCCGCTCGCCCCTGCTTTCCCCGTTTCTGCTCTGTGATCCCTTTCTGGTGGGCCCTGCAGCCCTGGGAGGTAACAGAGAAATCACTGCAGCTGTCTAGGTCCCTCTGCACGGCACCCACATGGACGCTCCCAGCTGCCGGCCGTGATGCTCGGAGTTCCATGTCTTCCCTGCTCCGGGTGTCTAGAGGGGCCTTTCCACCTGGGCATCGGCCTCACGGTAGACAGAGCGGTGGGGGCAGGGAGAGAGGCAACACCTGGTGAGGGCAGCTGTGCACGCACTGTGTGCACGTGTGCCGGCCACTGGCCTGCCTCTGCTCCTGGACGGCCTGCCTCCGTCCAGAGAGGGGTGTTACCCTCATTTTCAGCTGAGGAAACTGAGGCAAACAGGCTGTCCACAGAGCAGGCCAAGTGCAGGTCCAGGCCCCAGCCTGAGCCTCATTCATCACCTGTGAGACCTGGTCTAGCTGCCCAGCCTAGGATCTCACGGCCAAAGGGTGCAGCAAGCCCTGGCTCCCTGGGGAGGCCCCCTGCTCCAGCCCCTCCTCTCCCAGCCCCTTGAGGCAGATCTGCTGGGCTCCAAGTGTCCAAAATCTCTAGATCGCTGTCCCCAAACACCTATCCCTCCCTGGAAGGCTGAGTGTCAGCCTGGGCTCCTCCCTTACCAGGGACCCTGGCCTGAATTGGGCCCACCTCACCCTTGCTTCCCTCCTGCTCCCGGGCCCAATCTCCTCCTCAGCTAAACACCTTCGTCCCCTCCCAACCCTCCCTGCTGACCCCCAGGGCCATGTCCCTCAGCCCTGCAGCTCACCCTGGTGAGCCCTGTGGAGGCAGCTGTCACTAGGACCATCCCTCCTTCTGGAACTCTCTCCTCCCTCCCAGCCCCCAGGCTGTCCCTGCTTCCTGGTTCTCACAGGAGCCTTGGGGCCAGGCCCCTCCTCGTCACCCTTTCCAGGCCTCGTCAGTCTCTCTCACTCTGCAGACCACCCGTGTGCTGCCAACCCCACGCCTCTTCCCCAGTGTCCTATAGGACGAGGCCCACCCTCTTGACTCCCCTGTTCCCTTTCTCCCCATCCCTTGGCTAACTCTTACTTATCACTTCAGGTCTCAGCTCAAACATCACTTCCTCCAGGAAGGCTTCCTGGCTGCCCCATGTCTTTGCCCCCCAGCTTCCACTTCTCCTCCACACCAACGCTTTTCCCCAATGTCCTTGTCTGTTTCCTGAGCCCCCATCAAACTGCATCAGTCGGAGGACTGCAACCATGGTCCCTTCTCCCAGCCCAGAGCCTGGCGCCTGGTTGAGCCTCAGCACATGTCAGCTATATGTCTATGTTTTGGAAGCAGAAGGAATTTTCAAGACTAACTAAGCCTGAGGAAACTGAGGCCCAGAGAGGCGGCATGGCATGCGCCAGGTCACACAGGGACACAGTGCCAGCGGTGACAGTGACCCGCACCGCCCCTTCGCTGGCCGGGGAGCTAGCGTCCAGCTCTGCCGTTGAGGCTGGGGTGCGGGTGAGGGGCCCTGGGGAGCAGAGCCGTGCTGTGTTTTCCTGTCCCTTACCCGCTCATAATGGGATTAAAAGCAAGCTGCTGTCAAGGAGAGAGGCTGACTTAAAAAAAAGAAAAAAAAACCCAGAACATTTTAAGAGAATGAAAAACTTCGGCCATCAGCACTTTTTATTTAGACCTGAATTCATGAATTTTAACCAGATAAACACTGGCGTGTTAGGTACTAATACATGGACGATTATGCAAAACCACTATCATGACTGTAGTGAGAATTAGATTCTGACTTGGAGGTGGTGTTCCAGGAGGGAAGCATCCTCTGGTTTCCAGTGCTGTGACCTCGGATTGCCATTGCCATGGTAACGGGGCTGCCCTAGGAGTCTGTGGATAGGAGGCTGGTCCTGTGGGGAGGGGCGGCCAGCCCGGGCTGGGCTGGGCCGGTGCAGACCTCCAAGCCCCACCTGCGGGCTGGGCTTGGGCAGCTCTGTCCCCTGGGCAGCCCTGAGCCTCACAGGAGAGGGGACAAGTCACCAGCGGGAGGGGTGCAGTATGAAAACTCAGCAAGTGCATAGTGCCCCAACATCACCCACATCTTCTCACTCCCCTCCCTATGGCTCCTCACTTTCACCTTTCAATAGATGTTTGTTGAGCACCTATTATGCGCTAGGCCTGTGATAGGTGGTGGGGATACAGCATGGATGGGTCTGCATCTCAGAGGGGGAGACAGAAAATAGACAGCAAACAGACACATGAGTGGGGTTGTTTTAGAACCTGCGAGGGCCAAGAAGGCTATGGCCAGATGATGTGACAGAGTGAGTGACGGGAGGGGTGGTCAGAGGAGGCCTCTCTGGGGAGGAGTCCTTTGAGCCAGGGCCTGAAGGACAAGAGGTAGACAGCCATGCAAATGCATTGGCCACCCCTCAGAGAGTCAGGCTGCCAGATAAAATCCAGGACGCACGGTTAAATTTGAATATCACATAAACCACGAATAATTTTTTAGTGCAAGTATGTCCCATACAATATTGGGGACATACTTACACTAAAGTTATCTGTGGTTTGTCTGAAGTTCAGATTCTTTTCTTTAAGTTCAGATTCTTAATTGTTAAATCTGCCGAGCCTATCAGAGAGATGAGGTGACTTGCCCAGGTCCAGAGCGGTGGAGCTGGGCCCACACCCTGCCCAGTGGCCTGCCACCCTGCCCTGCTCCTCCTGGAAGCCTGCTTGCAGCCTCTCTGCCAGTCTCGACCTTGCAATCTGTTCTCACTGTGAGCCCTCTGAGCCCACCTCTGCCTGCCCCACCCTGTTCCATGGCTCGCTGCCCGGAGGCCTGCTGGCGCTCTGGTCCTCGCCCTCCGACCACTATGATGACCGCACCGCCTCCCTGCCCTTCACTTGGTCATTGTTCCCCAGCCTTCAAGCCCCAACTCGGGAGTCACTGCCTACAGAAACCTTCCTGCAGCTCCAGGTGGTCTCCACCCTCTAACAACTATCAGCTCTTCACTTTTTTAAAAAACTTAGCTATGTATTTTTTGTGTG